GATAAGTGAAATAGCTAAGTGATTAATGAATGGGTACCACATACAGAATAGATACACAGGATAAAGGGTTCACCTCTAGATGAGACAGAGGAAAATGGTGCAATGTTTTATCATGTAATATGGACAGCCAGCTAAAAACCTATGAATAACATACTTCTGAAACAAATTCCACTTAATCGTGGACTAGAGTTAACCACAGGGCAACTGAAACCATGAAAAGTGATGACTCAGCAGTTAAGAGCACTTGCTGGCTTCTCTTCCAGAGGACCTGGGTTCAATTCCCAGCACCCACATGGTGTCTCACAATCATCTCTAACCCCAGTCCCACGGGAAACTGAATGCTCTCTTCTGGCATGTGAGGACACTAGAGTGTACTGGTGCAAGGATATAAATGCAAGCAAGTAAAATAAGTATTTTAAGGCAAAAATATACTTTGTCCATTGGCAAATACATTGTTACATATGGAAATAAAATGACCACAGATAGCTTATACTTACTTAAACTGTTTGAGGCTCCAGGTTGGATTCTCATCACCATCAAACAAAAACTAATATAATAGAATTCGAGTAGGAGAATAGAAGTCTCCACACGAGGAAAAAAGTCCTATCCTAATTGTTCCTATAAATTACTGAACATATATTTACAAAGTGATAGCATGTCATATAGATAGCTAAAAAAAAAATCAATTCCAAAGGAAGTGGAGAGACAGCTCAGTAATTAAGAGCACTGGCTGCTCTTCTAGAGGACTCATACTCAATTACTAGAACCTACATAGTGGCTCACCACCACCTGTAACTTGAGACCCAGGGGATCCAATGCTTTCTTTTAGCTACTGTAGGCACCAGGCACACACACTGTACATAGACATATATGCAGGCAAAACACCCACACACTAAATTACATTTTTCAAAATTACTTCCTAAATTTTTGGTAAAAGTTAAGATTATCAAGAACTCTAAAATATTTGGGAATTAACTGATAGGCAATAAAAGTAAGGCATTTTTACAAATCTATAGGTTTGTTGTGAAATTTTGTCCTGCAATAAATAATGTATACATGTGAAGTCAAATAACTTAATCATAAAAGATATGCGATTTGGATGAACTCTGTAAGACCAACCCAAGTCAAATTACCCAAGATAAACTATTGAATAAACCGTCCCATGCACCTGAAGTGAATAACATTTGCATTTAAGATATACATCGATTATTAATCCAGGCTCCTTGACAGTGAGAACAACTGGCTGACCCTTCCTGCGCCCTGGAAGTGTCCGTCATTAGCTCTTCACTCTTGACTCAGCATGGAAGAGATAAAATGGTCCAAACTGTAAACAAGGAAAAATTAATACTGGTGTGTGACTTCTAAAATGGCCAATGCTTGGTCTGTCAAACCTATAATCTCAGGCAGACAATAATTAAGTAAATTTCTACCCTGGTAGGTTGTTTTACCTTTAGTGCACATTTTGTGATTATCTAGCAAATTTCGTGTGCAAGAAGCTTCATGCTGCAACGACAGTAGAAGAGGTATTTAGAATTATCCTCAGGGAACAATGTTGGAGAACCATGATAGAGTTATTTCACTGTTATAACACAGCTAATTATTACAGATATAATGTCTCTGGGAAATGCTCACTCACCTGGTGTCTTAGTTAGGGTTTCTAGTGCTGTGAAGAGACACCATGACCATGGCAACTCTTTTAAAGGAAAGTATTCGATTGGGGCTAGCTTACAGTTCAGAGGTTTAGTACATTATTGTCATGGTGTGTGAGGACCCAGATGTGAACCTTTTCCACCTTGACTGGAGGAGGTCAAAGTTTAAGCTTATTTTTGTTCTCTTAAAGTTGTTGACAACAGATGTGGCTACAAACAAGAGATTCTGACTTAGAGTGTAGTTAATGAGCATTTTGGGTATAGAGGTAGATCTGCTCCACCAGGACCAAATATAGAGAATTCAAGTCTATTCCTTATATCATGTTAATGACTTCTGTTACCTCTCCCACCCCTTTTAGAGTAAGGTATAAAGCATGTAGAAAATAAATGCAGACAAATTCAGGGATTCCGTAATTCAGTGAAAGTCCCTCCTGATGCTGTTCTGTTTCTGTGTCTTATTTCTCTTAAGTCTCTGTTCCTTTTGTTTAATAATTCTAACCCTCACACCCCTACCCTGGAACATAAGAGTTTCATCAAAGCTGGTGTTCGATGATGGTGGAGTGCAGGCAGACATGGTGTTGGAGAAGCTGGGAGTTCTACATCTTGACCCTCAGTCAGTAGAAGCAACTGTGTGTCACATTGGGCATAGCCTGAGCATATATGAGACCTCCAAGCTCAAAGCCTTCCCCAACAGAGGCACACTTATTCTGACAAATCCGTATCTCCTCATAGTGCCATTCCTTATGGGCCAAGCATTTAAACATATGAAGTCTATGGGAACCATACCTACTCAAATCATACCTGGATTGCCCAAACCAGAGGCAATGCAGACAGAGACAGAGACAGACAGACAGACAGACAGACACACACACACACACACACACACACACACACACACTATCCCTGTAGACAACATGAGTTGACACCTATCTACGCTGAACCAAGACTGCAGGTTGAGATGGCTCAGTGGTTAAAAATGCTCACTGTAAAAGCTGACAACCTGAGATTGACCCCCCCAGACTGCACAAGAGGACAGAACCAATTCCCAAAAGTTATCTTCTGATCTCCACATATGCACATGTGTATATGTACATGCACATCATTCATATAGACATGACCAATAAAAATTAATTTTTTTCAAGACAGGGTTTCTAGAGGCTTTTTATAGGACTTATTGCAGAAAGTGGACAGCTATCTTCCACTGAGACTGATTAATTCCCTGGGTATACTATGGGCCAAGCCAATGTGGGTTCACACGGCACTGACATGTCCCCTGAGCTTAGCCAGGAACATGACCATGCACTGCTCACACAGTAGAGGGGTCATGTCCATCTCTAAATCACCCCTTCGCTGATAACCCTGGCTGTTAGCAGTGGCTGGCCTTGCAAAGTGTTACTGGTCTTCAACCTTGGCAAGTCTGCCGACTGTTAATTAGACCAGAAGCCAAGTGGCATTTATCACCCACCCTTGTGGGCACAGTTCTTACCATGGCTACCAAGAGGGAGCTGCAGTTTTTCTTGGTTACTTTGTATGTAGTGCTGTCTGCAGGGCAGTCTAAGGTGTCTCCTTCCTGAAACGGGTACAGGCTTTTTAGGAGTCATTTCTGCCCACTGTTGGAAGCATGAGAGAGGCAATTATCTTCCCTATGTTTCTTAAGAGGGGCTTCATGGGAGACAGCTAGAAGTTGCCAAGGGCTTGGTTGTCCCGACAGCCCAATTCTTTCCTCTCACCTAGTCATCCAGGCTCTTCCCCATGCGGCTGCATTCTTACGTACTTCCATAGCATTCCCAAACTGACCGTTTCACCTCTAATATTCTGTAGGATCTGTTTTTACCATGGCACCATTACAGCCTGTATACGCTGAATTGATTCAGATACCATTCAACTATCTCTACTGATGTTGAATGCTTCACTTACTCGTTAGGTAAGCTTTAGTCTTTCAGGATTATTCTCTATAACCGTCCCCTGAACTGTACTCTCTCAACATCTTAGCTGTTTGCATTCACTGACTGCTGAATGACCTCAGCTCACCGACATCAGCAGGAACACTCTTCAACTGATAACTGAGTATGATGTTCCCTTACTCAATTCCTGTGATGCTGACTTGTAAATTCCACACTAAGATCAAATAAATTCATTTATGATGGTGACACAAAGAAATCAATGCCTCAGATTTTGGTCAATCTCTCAAAATAGAGAGCTAAGAGGCAGAAAGGATTAGACTTCATCCCAGCTTGTACCCCACATAATCTGCACCCTAATTCCATACAGACAACAGCATCCCAGTTTAAGCGCTCACCCCCATAGCAGAGCAGCAGGAGAGCTGTGGTCAACTGTGGGCAGCCAGACGCTTAAACAGCAATTGGGAGCAAAGGAAAGGGTGCTTCTCCATCGTTTCTGGTTCCAGCTGCTGAACTATGTGCTGGTACTGTGAACTGCTGGATTCTAGAATCACAAATAAGCCGGTTACAGTCTCAAAAGCTAGGTCTGTTGTAAGGTTGTTTCAACACGATAGTGGCCTTTTCTGTAATTAGAAAAAATAAAGCATTTGAATCTGAACTTTAGAGCTCCTTTAGGTTTAAGAAATTTCTTCTTAAGTGTATTTTCTTATATTAAAAAATATAAGACCCCGGGCTGGAGAGATGGCTCAGTGGTTAAGAGCACTGTCTGCTCTTCCAGAGGTCCTGAGTTCAATTCCCAGCAACCACATGGTGGCTCCAAACCATCTGTAAAGAGATCTGGTGCCCTCCTCTGGCGTGTGGAGGCAGAAAGTTGTATACATAATAAATAAAAAATCTTAAAAAAAAAATATAAGACCCCAAATGATACATTTTGTGTGTATTTTGAGTTTTAATTTGCTACTTTCAATATGTGTCTCTCCCTCAAACATCACTGCCCAAATACACTGGCTGCTCACATGAGAACTGTGATGCCACCAGGTTTGATATTTGCCCCCAGTGTCAGAGTTCTAGACGTCAGAAACACCTCCGCCAGCATATCTGTATGTGTGTTCCTGGAATCCCCCCTTCAAGTCAGGCTACTCATGCTCCAACTGGGCCAGTGTGTCTTGTCCAAAATGCCCATTCAATGCTCTCTATCAGACAGATACCACCTAAGCATAGCATTTTAACCATATAAGCAAATTTAAGAAAATATTATCTAACTAAATTACAATCTGCACATTATATTTCTTCAAATGTCTCATCAAGCTTAGATCAAATAATGAAAAGAAATATGATAAATATATTTCAATTTTATTTTTGTTATAAATTAAGGCATAAGAAAAACTGAGACCACACACTATATACACATGAAACTGAGCACGGAAAGATTCAACAATTCATATGGTAGAAGCTTTAATATATAAATTAGATGTCACTTTATTGATTGTTAGTCAAGCCAGTCTAAATTCAACATCATTTATCAAAATACTAAAAAGCTAATCAACAACAAAAAATAAAACCCATTGCAATATAGGTATAGTGTGGGAAAATACATATTTGTGGCTTTACACAATCTATATTAATTCGTTCTATACAATAGTTTTCCAAAATATAAATGGTTCTTTACATGCACTAGAACATACCCGCTGGATGTCCTCATATAATATACAGAAAATACCCTTTAAAGGAGACAGGTTCACAGCAAAAGTGGAATGTAGAGAAAGATTTTTGCCTTAACACAGTTTTGGATAAGATTAAATCAAACTTTAAAAGAAAGGTTTCTACTTACAATGGTCATGTTTAAAAGTAAAGTCTACTATGATTTTATATTTTCTAATTGTAACCCAAACAGAGAAAACAAAGCAGGGAAAAGAAAGCGAAAGTAGAAAACCCAATCCTTTATGAATTTTAAACAGGAGCTCCGCCTGTGGCTGCATTGAGGCTGCTTTTCAGTCGACAGTTCCCCAAATGACTCCTGGCACTCTGGCTCGCGCATCAGCAGTCAGGTGAGTTCTCCAGGAGGCATCACACCATTGTATAACCATAGCTGCCACAATGTAGTGCCACCAGCAGTCTGTCCTTGAGTATTTCTTTACTTGGGTATTCAGGTAACTTGAGCATATTGATGCTTTAAAAAAAAAAAAAAAAAGACCATCATTAAACAGAATCTCAGAAATTTCTTGTTTTACCTAGCAGTAAAAACACTGCTCATAATTAACATAAAACCACTCTCTCAAATTTGCATTGAAATTGGAAAGCCCTGAAGTGGTATTTAAAAAGGAAGGGAAAACTGCTGCAGTGCAGTTCCTCTCAGAATGCAAATGTAGGGCATGAAAATAAACTTCCAGCGTAAAATAAGTAAGCGGGTACTATACATGAAAGTGACGATGCAACTGAGCCACCATTTTAACTTCAGTGAAACCCAATTAAGTTTTAGGTGTGTGCCTCCCTCCCAAATGTTCCCTTCTAAAACAGAAGCAAAACTACGTAACCACTGATTCATTTGTAGTTCCTGAAGTCTGAGGAGAGATTATGGGTGAACTTTTCTTTCATTACAGAATTACAGCATACCACATATGGCAGGCAGTCAGGGTTCCCGTAGTTTTGCCTCCGTTGTTGCCAGTATCAGACCCTCCTCTCATCCTATCTCCTTTCCAGTGGAAGTCACCAAGACCCTAGACCTTCATTCTACCAGGAACCAAAGCCAACACATGTGGCAGAGACCCAGGTAAGCATAGACCTTGCCCCTGATCAAAGAAGCCTCTTTTCAAAGCAGATAGAGACCAGTACAGAAAGCCACCAGTCAAAATGCAGAGAACAACTGACTGTGGGGTACATTTAACTACACAATTCCTGCACCTAAGATTCAGGGAACATCAAAGAAGAGGGGGTAGAAAGATTCTAAGAGACTGGGGAACCAAGAAATGTGCTTAAAGATTGTGACATAAGCCGGGCGGTGGTGGCACACGCCTTTAATCCCAGCACTTGGGAGGCAGAGGCAGGCAGATCTCTGTGAATTCGAGGCCAGCCTGGTCTACAAGAGCTAGTTCCAGGACAGGAACCAAAAAGCTACCGAGAANAAAAAAAAAAAAAAAAAAAAAAAAAAAGATTGTGACATATAGCTATAAGAATAAAGAAGCCTGTCATGAATCTCAACAACATGGCTGCCGAAACAAGACCTGAACAATTTCAACAACAGTTAGTATCCCAAGTAGATGGTAGAAATCTCTACCCCTAGATGAAGAGCTACAAGCAAATAACTGCTGAGATGGAGAATTCGTCTTCCTTAGGGATGCACTCCCTGGTTGGATTTCTAGGAAACCCTATGTTGATAGAGGCTGCTGGTTTGTTTCTCAGACACCCAAACCCAAAATAATTATACAGAAACTAAATTAATTACATCACTGCTTGGGCAATAGCTTAGGCTTCTTATTAAGTAATTCTTACATCTTAAATTAACCCATAATTCTTATCTGTTTTAGCCACGTAGCTTGGCACCTTTTATCAGTGAGGCATTCTCATCTTGCTTCCTCTGCATCTGGTTAGTAACTACAGAATGAGCCTTTCCTCTTCCCAGAATTCTCCTATTCTGGTCATGCCGCCTATACTTCCCGCTGACTACTTGCCAATCAGTGTTTTATTAAACCAATACAAGTGACAAACCTTTACAGGGTACAAGACCATTGTCCCACAGCACTCCCCCCCTTTTTCTTTCCTTTTCAAAACAAGAACTCTGATTCTAATCTCTTTTGTTTACCTTTTTTCCTGACCATTATCCATAACAACTTGTAACCAATACCCTAAACAAAGTCAAACATCCATAATCCATTTTTTTTTGGGAATGTGGGCATAGTTTTCTAGGCTATTTCCTAGTGATTGGGGACGCTGATAATCTTATGGGGACCTAAAGAAAATTTAGGATTATGGTCAAGTTCTGACTGGAATATTCTGTGAGGCTTGATCATCTCAGCAAACAGTCTTGAGGCTGTTCTGGAAGTAGAACTCAAAGGAAACTCCAACAGAGGTCCTCTGGAATGTTGAATCATCTGGGCCATTCATTCCAATCAGAAATTTTTCAAGGGGTCTCCCTTGATCAAACCTGATATTTCTTAACCCAGAACAAATCCACAGCCTCTCATTTCCTATGGAAACAAAAGAAAAACCTCTTCTCCAAAGTAACATATCTTTTGACTTAAAGTCAAGGTATTTTCAAAATATATGTTGGATTAATCCAGCAGCATTTATAATCAAATTATTTTAGCAGTTGTTGCTCCTTCCTCAGCCACCAAACAATTCAAAGACAACACAATAACATTTAGTATCCAGATTCTCTGTGCATTTTCCATCTTTACATAGCTTTATTTTAAGCTCTATTTCTTTTATTTTTATTTTTCATTTTTTTGAGACAGGGTTTCTCTGTGTATCTTTGGCTGTCCTGGAACTCACTCTGAAGACCAGGCTGTCCTTGAACTCACAGAGATCCACCTGCCTCTGCCTCCCAAGTGCTGGGATTGGTTATGTGCCACCACAACCCTAGAAACATATATAAAATCAATACTGTACAGACCCAGTAGGCTGTAGTTTTCTCTTTATTCATGTACATGTGTATCTGACAAAATTAAAGATGCTCCATGAATTTGGGAGGGAAGAGGGAGTATATGGGAGGAATAGGATGTAGAGGAAGGGGGAAATTATGCATTTTATATTCTAATGAAGTAAAAATATACCTTCTCAAGGATAATGGTATCATAACAAAGCAATGGAATGTAACTACTGAAGACTTCAGTTAATTCTTTTTCCTCTATTATAGTAAAATATACATAAATTTAATATGTGAACCACCAGAAAGGAGATAAAGCAATTACTTTTGATCATTTAAAATTAATAAAAAATATTTTATAATTCATTTAAATGTTAGTTTAACTTACCATGTGCTGGAAGTTGGTAACAGATTTGGAGTATATGGCACAGCAGCAATTGTGAAGTTCTGCAAACCACTTCCACCCATAATATTGGCAAAACCACCATGCGGGACCCTGGAACTAAGAGTTTATAACATCAGCTGTGACCATGAAAGCAAATGTTTCTGACAGACACATGTTAAGGTTGACATTAGGGCAAGAGTATATCGAACTCTAAAACAATGACAGAACAGCATTTTTTAGTCTGAAAACTTACAACTCATTCTTGTCTGTTGCTTCATGGTTAGTTAGTAATCATCCAAGAAGAAAGTTCTCTATGCTTCCATCAGGTAAACTATAATTTTAACTGGCTATATGACATGTTTACGACAACGGGCTGGCTAGTTTTGTGTCAATTTCACACAACAATAGTCATTTTGGAAGGAAGAATCTCCCTTAGGAAAATGCCCCCTCCATACTGGCCTATATGTAGGCAAGCCTGTGGTGCAATTTTCTTGTCTGGTAATTAATGTGGGAGGGTGCACCTCACCGTGAGCAGTGCTACCCTTTGGCGTTCCAGGTACAGGGTGCTGTAAGAAGGCAAGCTAAGCAAGCAGTTCCAGGGCCTCGACATCAGCTCTTGCCTCTAGGTTCCTGCACTGACTTCTTCACTGATAAACTCTAACATGGAAGTGGAAGCAAAATAAACCCTTTCCTCTCAAGTTGCTTAAGAACATGGTGATTTATCACAGCAACAGAAACCCTAAGACAGAAAGTTTGCTTTGCGTACCTCCCTATTAAATTAAGACTCTCAAACATTTCCTATTTTATGTTTGTATCAGTGGCATTCGTATCCTTAGGATTAAAACTGCCTGGAAACTCACAGCTGCTAAATGTTTGCTGAATAAAAGGGCTGTGGTTGTTTGGATGTGGAATGTCCTCCGGAAACTCATGTGTTGAATACTTGGTCCCCAGCTGGTGTGACTGTTTGGAGTGCAGTGGATCTTTAGGGCAGTGGTTATAAACCTATGGGTCACAGGGGTCACCTATGACCATCTGAAAACATGCCTATGTACATTACAATTCATAGCAGGAGCAAAATTACAGATATATAGTAGCAATGATATGGTTGGGGTCACCAATAAATGAGGAAGTGTATTAAGGGGTTACAGCAGTAGGAAGGTTGAGAACCACTGCTTTAGGAGTTAGAGCCTTGCTAGGAAACCAGGTCGTACTTGCTGTTCCTGTCTCAGTACCTTTTCTGCTTCCTGCCATGCATATCTCCCTCACCATGATGGACTGTCCCTCCTGGAACAGTGGGATAAGTCCTTTCTCCTTACAGGTTGTAATCTAGGGATTTTCTTCTTTGTGACAAACATCGAGGCACAAAGCATTTTTCTATTGACATTCATCTTTCCAGATATGAAGACGAGCAAGCATACAATGTCTATGGTACACGTGTGTGATCACCCTGGGCATGTGTGTGTCGAGGTGAATTCGGGCATCTCCTCTATTCTTTGCCACCTTATGTTCTGAGACAATGTCTCTCACTGAACCTGAAGTTCATCACTTGCTCTACATGGTTGCCACTACCCACCGGTACTAGGGTTCTGTGTGTGCGACCAACCCAGCTGTCACACGGGTCCTCAGGATCCATACTCAGGTGCTCACACCTGTACAGCAAGTAGTCTACACGAATCATCTTTCCTGTCCTCAAATATTATTTTTTTAACTACTGTGTAAAAAAATTGGTACCAGCACTCAGGAGGTAGAGGCAGATGGATCTCTGTGAGTTCGAGGCCAGCCTGGTCTACATAGTGAGTTCTAGACCAACCAAGACTATAGAGAGAGACTCTATCTCAAAAACAAAACAACAAATACCAGAGACTCTCTAGTTGGGAACTGACTGGCCACGGTGGCCACGCTGGGCTGGGAATCAATAGGGCAGATGATGTTCACTCTCCTTATTGCCCCCATTTCCAATTCCCCAGTCTTACCCAACCCCACAGCAGACCACCTGTAGGGGCTGTCCTCTCTGACTCCACTCCCGGGGAACTCAGTCCTGTGGACCCGACTAGCACCTCCTTCTAGCCCATTCTTTTCCGCCAGCCTCAATGACTAAAAAAACCAGGAACTTTCAGTGCCAACACCTGGCAGGAACTCAAAAGGACTCCCTACCATCTAACTCACAACCGCCACACTATCCTAAAATGTAAAGAGGGCAACAGAAAACAAGGACCAAAACACCCACCCCCAAAAAGCCAAGACAAAATATCAACAGCTAGGACTACAGTGATCCCAAATCCAGGTGCCTAGACACCAACATAAAAACACAATTAGTAACAGGCAGGGCAGTATGTCTCAACCAGAACCCAGCAACCCTACTACATTTGGACCTGAGGATTGTAAGAAAGCACAAGACAAGAACTTTAAAATAGGTATTATGAATATGCTTAAGGACCTGAAAAGGGAAATAAAAAACCCTTAATAAAGTCTAAGATAACACAAACAGAATAAAATGATGAAAACAGCTCAGGACACAAAGGTAGAAATAGAATCACTAAAGAAAACCCAAACTGAGGGGAAAGTGAAAAGGAAAAAATTAGGAAGTCAAACAAAAATGTCACTTTATCAAGACAAAATGAAAAAATAAGTGCTCTCACTATCCTTACACAAATTGTACCACGGCATTTCAATATCTGAATAAAAACTCCAAGGTCCTTTACACAACTAAACTATGAAAGACAAATTAAACAAAAAGCAGGCTAAAGATGAAGCTCAGTGCAAGGCTGCCTTGCACTCAGCAGTGAGTCCTGAGGTCATTCACTGGCATAAATGCGTAAATGAGTATGAGAAGACCTCCCACGAGGAGTACTAATCAAATTGAGGGCTAAAATCAATAAAACAGAAAGAAAGAAAACAATAAAAGAGTCAATGAAAAAAACAGAGTGGGTTTTTTTTTTTGAGAAAATTAACAAGATAGAAAAAACCTTTATCCAAACCAGATGGTTTTCAGTTCAGAATTCTACCAGAATTTCAAAGAGCTAATACCAATACTTCTCACACAATAGAAAAAAACATTGACAAATTCTTTTTATGAGGCTACAGGTACCGATACCCAAACCACACAAAGAGGCAAGAAAGAAAGAGAATTACAGACCAATCTCCCTCATGAACATTGATACAAAAATACTCAATAAAATACTGGCAAACTGAATCCAAGAACACATCCAAAAAATAAAAAATAAATCTACCATGATCAGCTAGGCTTTATACCAGAGATGCAGGGATGGTTCAACATATAAAAATTTGTCAACATAACCGACCATATAAACAAACTGAAAGAAAGAAAAAAAAAAACCATGGTCATCTCTTTAGATGCTGAAAAGCCTTCGACAAAATTCCACACCCCTTCATGATAAAGGTCTTGGAGAGATCAAGGGCAAAAGTAACATACTTAAACATAATAAAAGTAATATACAGCAAGCGGGAGAAAATCAAAGTGGTTCCACTAAAATTAGGAACAAGACAAGACTCTCCACTCTCTCCATACAAGACTGTCCACCACAATATAGTACTTGAAGTTCTGGCTATAGCAGTAAGACAATAAAAGGAGATCACAGGGATACAAATAGGAAAAGGAAAAAAAAAAATCAAACTTCTTCTATTTGCAGATGATACAATAGTATATATAAGTGACCCCCAAAATTCTACCAGGAAACTCCTGCAGTTGATAAACACCTTCAGTGAAGTGGCTGGATACAAAATTAACTACAAAAAAAAAAAAATAAATCAGTAGTCCTCCTCTATACAAGTTATAAACAGGCTGAGAAAGAAATCAGGAAAACAACATCTTTTACAATAGCCACAAATAACATAAAACAACTTGGGGTGACTCAAACAAGTGAAAGGCACGTATGACAAGAACTTCAGGTCTTTGAAGAGAAAGAAACTGAAGAAGATAACAGAAAATGGAAAGATTTCCTATGGTTATGGCTCAGTAGGACTAACAGTAAAAATAGTAATCTTACCAATGCAATCCCCATCAAAATACCAACACAATTCTTCACAGACCTTGAAAAGAAAAATACTCAACTTCATATGGAAAAACAAAAAACCCAGGATAGCAAAACCTATCCTGTACAATAAAGGAACTTCCAGAGGTATCACCATCCCTGACTTCAAGCTCTCCTATAGAGCTATAGTAATAAAAACAGCAGGTTATTGGCATAAAAACGGACAAATGTATCAATGGAATCTAAATGAAGACCCTGATATTAACCCACAAACCTATGAACACCTGATTTTTTAAAAAGAAGCCAAAATCATACAGTGGAAAAAAAAGAAAGCATCTTCAACAAATGGTGCTGGCATAATTGGTTTTCAGCATGTAGAAGAATGCAAATAGATAGAGCCATATCTATCGCCCTGGCCTGTACAAAACTCAAGTCCAAGTGGATCAAAGAGTTCAACATAAATCCAGTTACACTGAACCTGATAGAAGAAGAGAAAGGGGGAAGTAATCTCGAATGCATTGGCACAGGAGGTAACTTCCTGAATATAACATCAGTAACACAGACACTGGGATTGACAAGTAATAAAAGGGACCTCCTGAAACTGAAAAGCTTCTGTAAGGCAAAGGTCACTGTCAAAAAGACAAAACAACAGCCTACAGAATGGGAAAAGATCTTCACCAACCTGACATATGACAGAGGGCTGATTTCCATAATGTATAAAGAACTCAAGAAACTAGACATCAAAACACAAAATAAGTCTTTAAAAAAAAAATAAGGAGGGGTAAAGATCTAAACAGAGAATTCTCAACAGAATGGTCAATCGGTCAATCACTTAAAGAATTGTTTGTTGGGCAGTGATGGTGCACGCCTTCAATCCCAGCACAAAGGGAGGCAGAGGCAGAGGGATCTCCTTGAGTTTGAGGCCAGCCTGGTCTACAGAGTGTGTTCCAGGACAGCCAAAGTTACACAAAGAAACCCTATCTTGAAAAAATAAATAAATAAATAAAAAACAAAATGAAACTAAAGAATTGTTCAACATTCTTAGCCATCAGGGAAATAGAAATCAAAATGACTTTGAGATACCAAGTCATCCCTGCCAGAATGGCTAAAATCAAAACAAATGACAGCCTATGTTGGAGAGGATGTAGAGCGCAAGGGAAGCATACCTCCCCAGTGAGAGTGCAAACTTCACAGCCACTTTGGAAATCAATTTGGTAGCTTCTTAGAAAATCAATCAATATACCTCAGGACCCAGAGCAATACCACTCTTGGTTGGGCATATACCCAAAGGATGCTCAATCATTCCACAGGGACACTTGCTCAACTATGCTCATAAAAGCATTATTTGTAATAGCTAGAACCTGGAAACAACCTACATGGCCCTCAACAGAGGGATGGATAAAGAAAACATTTACACTATAGAGTATCACTCAGCAGTAAAAACAATAACATCATGACATTTGCAGGCAAACAGATGGCACTAAAAACCATCCTGAGTGAGGTGGCCCAGACCTAGAAAGACAAAGATGGCATAGAGTCACTTGTAAGTGGATATTAGGTGTAAAGTAAAGGTCAACCAGGCTACAATCCACAGCTCCAAAGAGGTTACATGGAGAGTCCAAAGAGGGAAGCATGAATTTCCCTGGGAAGGGGAAATAGAAGAGATTTCCTCAGTAAACTGGGGGTGGGAGTGGAAAGAGGGGAGGATGGGAGACTGGGAGATGGGAACATGAGGGATCAGGTTGGGATGGTGAGGGTGAGACAGATGGGAGAGTAATGAAAGAGATGTCTTTATAGGGGGCATTTAGGGGCTAGGGAGAAATCTGAAAAAGAATAATTAATAAAATTAAAAATTTTAAAAAGGGGGGAATATAAAAATTAAACAGCTAATAAAAAATGTAGATGAGGGTGGGAAGGTGGCTTAGTTGGTAAAGTGCTTGCTACACAACCATGAGGACCAAAGTCCAGATTCCCAGCATTCACATAGCAGCAGGGCACAGTGGCCCTGCTGCAATCCTGGTACTGTGGAACTCCTGAACTCACTGCCCAGCAGTGGCTCTGGGCTCACTGAGAAAGCACACACAAAGAACAAGGGGAAGAATAGTAAAAGGCAGATGCCGCTGCCTTCTGATCTCCACATATGCATGATGCATGCTGGTGAGATGGGTGTCCGTACAAGTAGGTGCACACAACACACACACCTATCTACACTACACAGACAAATGAGAATAAAGTACTTATATAAAGTACTGATAATAAAGGATACTAACATAAATATTAGCTGGTTATCTTTAGGGACTGAGATTAGAGGTGATCAGGTTGTTTATTTTTTTCTGTTTTTGGTATCTGTATAAATTATCTAACCTTAAATATAATGCTTCTTTTAATTATTCATATCTCTGAATATTTCTTAGCACCTCAAGGGGCAAAAATAAAAAATTAACAAAGCTTTCTTTCCTATCTTTAGTCTATAATCTGTCAAAAGTCATGTCTTACTAATTTAATAAAACCCGATTACAGAATGATTCCAACTACTTTCAAAAGAGCGTGGAAAAGATGGATCAGCGTGGCTACCTTTGAATGGTGAGGTTACCTAGTGGGAACTTCATTATTTTTTCATGTTCTCCATTTTTCAAATTGTCTAAAATAGTTGTATAGTACTTTTAAAATAAGAAAATAATGGTTTTTTAAAAGTACATATATACTATATAGATTCACATTTATGCTGGTTGTTTGGGTTTTTTTTTTTCAATTTTATACAACACTGAATCATCTATAAAGAGGGAACTACAAATAAGAAAATGCCTCCACCAAACTGGCCTGTAGGCAAGTCTGTGGGATATTTTCTTGATTAATGATTGATGTGGGAAAGGATAGCCCTCTGTGGGGGTAGTACAGCAGTACTGGGTTGTACAGGAAAGCAGTCTGAGAGAGCCATGTGAAGTAGCCAATATGCAGCAACCCCTCCATAGCCTCTGCATCAGCTCCTGTCTCCAGATTCATGCCCTCTTTTAGTTCCCATACTTGCTTCCTTCAGTGATGGACTACAATGTAGAAATATAAGCCAAATAAACCTTTCCTCCCCAACTGCTTCCGGGGCATGGTATTTTGTCACATATAAACAGAAATATAGTTCATTCTGTAATCAGGTTTTATTAAATTAGTAAAATACAACAGAAACCCAAACTAAGACAGTGTATATGAGAGAGATTATGTGTGTATTCATGTGTGATCATACAAATTGAATGCCTTTATTATCAAACCAATCAAAAACATAAAATATATTAAAAATTCAAGTTTCTGAAATATATTAAAGATTTAGCAGTACTATAAATGTTTTCTATTTTCAATACATAAACAATCATTTGTTTAATACCTAAAGTATGGACAGAGAGGCAAGAAACAAATTCAGAGTACTGACTCAGTTTGGTTGTTTTTCTCTGTGATTACTCTCTTGGTCATACAATAAATTTTCCCAGTGTTATCATAAAAGCACTTCTTACCTGCCAGTAACAAACTGCAAGAGAAGAACTCGCTCTTCTTGAGTGATGTCTTCCACAACTTCCCAGAACCACTGCCAAGAATAACCACAATTTAGCTCACATTTCATGGCAAATGGAGACTTATTAGAAACAGAGACCATGCAATATTCATAAAGCGCATTTCATTTTCTGAAACTCATTTATCAAAGATGATTTCACACAAGATTTTCATATGCAATATCCCCCAAAGAAGAATTTATGCAAAATCTTTATTTTGTTAATGGATGTGGATTCCCATCCAATAGAACTGAAAAGCTTACAAAATTAAATGGCAAACTTAACTTCATTCTAAGCTCCAGAGGGGAGTTACCTGAATGACTGGATCTTCTCTTTCATAGCCACTTGTGTATTCTGTATTTTTAATCCAATCATTCACATCAATTTCTGGCATGCCAGAAAGCAGTAGCTCCTTTGGGAAAGAGGAAAAATATTTCATTAATCTTCTTTGGGGGGAAAAAAGTCATTCCATTTAAATAGTAAGTTTGCCTTAATTAGAAACTAATCCCATATAAAGCTGGTTTATTTCTGTGACAGTTCCTACATGTCATCAATAATAAGCACTACACAAGGAAGAATCCTCCATGGTGATATTTCAAATGTGGCATGAGGGGATGGACCCACTTTGATACAATCTAAAACATAAAAAGAATGGTAGCTTGTATATTTACAGCAAATATATACAACCAAAATTTCTGTGTACATCAATGTGGCAAGTATTCCCTCTAGTTCACTTTATTTTGATTTTAGTATTCTTTACAAATATGTTAAATTCCACCAGATCATTTTCTCTACATGAAAGTGACACCAAAAGCCTGAATATTAAACAAATGGAAAGTTTATCAATAAATAATCTTTTTTATTTAAAGGATTTAGGCTCATATGAATTCTATTTTGTAGTAATTCAGATCGTTTGAAGTCAATGTTAATTAAAAAAAATTAGCATTTTCTAGTGACTTTGTTTGCAGTGGATAGTAGGCATGGACTGTAGGGGCCTTGTACGTACTAAGCAAGCACTCAACCATGAAGCAACATCCTCAGCCCTAAGTATCTGATTGGCTTTTTCCCAAGATCATCAAACATACAAATCTACATCATATAACTAAAGTTATATCAAGAAAGTAAGTGTTCCAAAGGGAAAGGGAACCAGGAGAGCATCTGTGTATCTGAGTCGCCCATGTTTCACAGCACAAAACCACACAGTGAGGGAGGGAAACAGTGACAACTCACAATAACTAGGGCAGCAAATGCTCTAGCAAAGCTAACCCAAGGCTATGTGTGAGACCTTGAGGAGTTTTGAAGTCTATTCAGTAGGTCAGTAAGAGTCTCCCTTTTCCATGCTTTCCGTATGAAACTGTATTTTCTTCATATACTTCAACCAAATAATGAAGTGCAGCTAATCATAGCATAAGCAGATATGAGAATCTAATGGTTTATTTAGTCAGGCATCACAAATTTATAAAAACAGGGACACTTTTCTCCCTATTTTTGTACTGTTCTTGGAATAGTTTTCATTTCTAAATGTTACTTATGTTAACATAATTAATAAAGCACTTCTCACTTCTAATTTAATCTCAAATGCAGCAACTATCCACTGGAATAATAGTCCACATAAACAAAGGCTCTTCTGTAAGAGATCAATCACCCCAAGACCCTATGATTTCAAACTGTTGGTGCGTATCTGAAGTACTCTTTTTTTGCTGTAGGAGTGGCTCTTTTTAGCGCTTCTGACACATTCTCTAGGCTCCTCTCTGCAGACTGGCTCTCTCTTCCTTACTATCTTCAGTGAAGAGCTTGGCCACTGAGAAGCAGGTTGGCCCACAGGTAAGGAGATCTCTGTTCTTGTCTTACTTTGGCGCTATCATTTTATAGTAACCCCTATGATGGAGGAAGGTCATTGGTTAAGTAATAAAGAAACTGCTTGGCCTCATAGGCTAAAACATAGGTGGGAGGAGTAAACAGAACAGAATGCTGGGAGGAAGAGGAAGTGAGCTCAGAGGCCATGCTCCCCTCTCCCGGGGCAGATGCGATGAAGCAAGCCGCCAGGTCAGACATGCTGAATCTTTCCCGGTAAGACTGGTGCTACACAGATTACTAAAAATGGGTTAGGCAAAATATGAGAATTAGCCTGTAAGAGGCTAGAGCTAGTGGGCCAAGCAGTGTTTAAATGAATACAGTTTGTAAATGAATGTTGTTATTTTGGGGCCTAAGCTAGCCAGGCGACCAGGAGCTGAGGCGGCAGGAACATAGCCCACAGCTCCTACTACACCTCCACAGCTCCTACTACACCCTGACTCTAAACTGTAACTAGTGCCACAGAGCATCTCCTTGGCAATTCACTCTTACAAAGGGCCCTCTGCTACAATTCTTCCCCCTGCCTCTTTTGACAGTAGCCAGAACAAAGGCTTCCGACTACTGCCAGAACTTTGTGCTGTATAAATACTGCTGCAACCATCCCTTTATTAAGATTTCTTCACTTGAACCACCTGAGAAAACTTGGTTCCCTGCTAGACTAACACAGATCTGCAAAAGAGCATGGGGATGAATTTTACATGTTTCTTACAATTCATGAGTTTAATCATCTTCCCTTTCAAACTAAAGATAAGCTTTTAATATCATTATTCTTTCATAATTATGAATAAAATTTCAAAACAATTATGAATATAATTATGAAATAATTATTGCAACTAACTGTACTCTTAAAAAATTGGAAATCTTTTATATCACATTTGTTATAATTTAAGGAGAGAAAAACACCTTTTTTTTTGAGACAGAATCTCACTGTATATACCAGACTGATCTGAAAATCACAAAAATCCACTGGCCTCTTGTCTCCATGCAAGAATTAAAGGCAGCATGGGGTTTGTTTTTTATTTTGTTTTGTTTTTTTACACTTAGTAAACATTGGTTTCTTATCTTATTGTCAGAACACTGTCCCAGAAGGGAGCTATGTATGGAGATTTCTTCAAGCCCACAGTTTTGTTCTTGGCATGTATTTTCATGTCCTTCCCAGGTGTAGCAGAAAGGAGTGATTTTTACTTCAGACTGTTCATTACAACTGGCTATTGTAATTTGTTTATATGCCTCTACAGAAAAGTTTTTTGCTGCATGTGGCTTGTCCATGCAAACTGCCCACCACATGTGAGCTGTGATTGCACCCTTGACTCATGTGACCCCTCTTAACCAGAATACAAATTGCCTGATGCTCTGAATAAAGTTGGCAATTGCATGAGACTTTAACCACCTTGTTTATGGTCTCCATTCGCCCAGGTCCCACTACCTCTATAGCGATGGCATTTAATGATTTACTTATTTTTTAATTCCTTATAACAAACAACTAAAGAAAAAGTTAAGATGACAAATAAAAATTCACAAGAAAAAGTACATATAGTAAAAAATACTGTAAGTTTCAATTAATTTATTTTTTTAAATTTGAGACTTTTTGAGTTTTTTTTTTTTTTTTTTTTTTTTTTGCAGTGGGAGAGGGAGTAAGGGGGATGGGATGAGACAGGGTCTTAGAGTGTAGTCCAAGCTAATCTTAAACTAAGATTTGCTTGCCTCTGTCCTGAGTGTAGGGATTAAAAGGCATGTACCACCACACCTAGGCAATAATGTATTTTTAATACAATAAAAGAATTAAGCATTTTAAGATACAACAAAGTGGCCTATGCCTGTAATCCTAGCTCTTTGGAGGTGGCAGCATGATGCTTTAGAACTTCAAAGACATCCTCAGTCAAAAAGCAAGTTAAAGGCCAGCACGGGCTACATGAAACCCTGTCTTCAAGCACAAATAAACTAAAAATGTGTGTGAATACTCATAGATGCACAAACAAATGTTACAACTAGATGTCATCTACAAATTATAGAGGCTACACTAATAAGACATGCGTTACAGAAATTAGATTACCTAGAATTCCCATGACTTGGTTTTGGATATTCTGGTATTATAGATGGAGCACAATATGGGAAGACAACCACTCAGACATTTGGCATGAGTCTTCTAAGTAGAACTGTGTTACATATGCTTCAATCTGACAATCATCTCCTTACTGGGACCTCCATCCACAGTGACTGACGATAGGATACTGTAGCTACTATATGCCTTCTCCTCACTAAAATCTAGAATCAAAGCTGAATCCTTAAGTAAGTACACAAAAGTGTAAAAACTTTCCTTTCTTGGTGTAGCAGAGGCCTGCTCTATGATAATAACTCCATGTACACAGAACATATGCACATACTCTCATAAAGAGAAACTACACTATTTATAGTATGCCAGTTAAAATAGTAAACTGTAAAGACCCTGTCAGTATGTAAGAGTGTAAGACAAAAGGAAACTGACATAATAAAATACTATTCAGTGAATTATCATTATGTGCAACAATATGTATGATTCTCACAAAAAAAGGGGGCTGAGGTGTTTGTTTCATTTATTTTCAAAATAGGTAAACCTGCCAAACCCAACATAACAGGCAACATTTGGGTACACTTGGCCAACGTCTCAAGAAAATAAGCTGGGGAAATGGGTATTGGGAGGTAGCAAAAAAGCAATGGACATTCCAAACAGCTAGAAGAGAAGGCACACTCAGGGCAACAGCAACAAGGAAAGATGGAAAATTCTTCCCTTGGGGCTAAGTACTTAGCTCTCCTGTCAATAAAGCAAAAGCACACCAGAAGCATGAGATCACAGATCAACAGGAGTACAGAACGCATGTTCAAACACTGACTGACACACAGACATTCTCCTCAGCAGTCCACTGAACTTAGTCTCTAAGATAGGTCATATATTAGGACACAAAGCAAATCGCAACAAATACATACAAAACTAAATTAACTTCTTGCATTCTATCTGAACACAACAGAATAAAGCAGCAAGGGAAACTATACAAATTCAGGGAGATTAAATGATACACTACTAAATAATTAATGACTCATTAAAGAAATCAAGAAAAAAAACTTTCTAGAATTCAAGGAAAACGAACATGCAGCACACCAAAACCTACAGGATAAAATGAGAGATGAGATGCTCACAGCTATAAATACCTGCACTTAAAACAGAAATTAGGAGAGACAGCTGAGCAGGTAAGAGCACCTGCCACCACACCTCATGACCTGATTAGATCCCAGAAGCCCACATGGCCAAAGGAGAGAATCAACTATCACAAGTTGTCTTCTGACCTCTACATGTACTCACAGGCATGCCATAGCAAGCTCATAGACACACAGACAGGCAGACACATACACACATAATTTTTAAAGCTAAAAATAATAAAAAAAATTAACAGGTCTCAAATCATGGCAAATATTACCGAAATAGAAACTTTAAAAATACAAGGAATCAATGAAACAAATAGCTGATTCTTGGATAATATAAACAAAATTAAGAAACTTTTGGCAAAACTAAGATTCAAGCTCATAAAATCCGAGAGGAAATAAAAGTCATTATAACAGTTACCAATAAAATCCAGAAAATGGTAGCCACTGCTAGTATTCAAGCATCTGTATTGGTCTGACCTTGTGGTTGATAGGACACATCCTCAGCTGTAGCCACTAAGAGCACCGCCTATGCACATTCACTATGTTCCCTTTTAAAAGAGCCCTGCCCACCTCCCCCCTCTCTCTCTCTCTCTCTCTCTCTCCCTCCCTCCCTCCCTCCCTCCATCTGTTTGACCCTTTTCTCTTCTCTCCTGCTACTCCTGTCCCCAAAGACCAGTCTCCCCTTTGCCCACTCACTTTCCCCCAATAAAAAACCTCTCCACTTGAGCTCTGTCACATGGCGTCTTTTTCTCGAGTACCTCTTTTTTAAAATTACAGACATACCTTAAAAACGTATTACACTAAATTGGATAATCTAGAAGAAATAGAGAAATTTCTAGACACATGACTTACCAAAGTTAAAACAAATAAGATAAAGAATTTAAAAAAATCTATAGCAAGCAATAATATGGAAAAATAATTAAAAATCACCCAAGGAAAAAAAAGTCAAGCCTAGATGGATTCTCTGCAGAATTCTCCCATGTTGTAAAGATCTAACACTTTGCAGTTATTCCACTGCAAAGGCCCTAATTTCGGCCCAATCTGTTTTTATGTCTTTCCTTCCTAGTCTGCCAAGATGTGAACAAGCATCCTTAACAACTCTGCTACCATAGCCAGGAGATTGCTCTATGCCTTCCCCACCATAATGAAATACACACACACACACACACACACACACACCTTCAAACCATGAACAATTACACCTGCACCCTTCCTTCTTTAAGCTTCTCTCTGTCAGACACTCGTCACAGCAATAAGAGAAGTAACTACTACAGCAGCTGTGCTTTAAAATACTGTGTCAGGGCTGGAGAGATGGTTCAGTGGTTAAGAGCACTGGATGCTCTTCCAGAGGACCTAGGTTCAATTCCCAGCACCCACGTGGTCACTCATAACTGTTTGGAATTCCAGTTCCAAGGTATCTGGCATGCTCACACAGACATGCATGTAGGCAAAACACGAATACACATAAAATACTGTGTCTTTTTAAAGTTTTAAACAATTCAGAGTTTGAAAGTAATTTATTAACAACAAAAGAAAACAAACACAATTTAGACATAAATAATACAAAGAGTAAATTCTATTAGGTCACAGTAGAAGGCAGGCAAACCAAAGAACAAAACAAAATACCCATTGAGGACTTGAGCAAAAAAAAGAGACCACAAAGGGGGTAGAAATGGAGGATTTTAAAATTATATGTATGGCAATGGTAAACACATAAACATTAAAATCAAAATACACACATTTTAATAAGAAAGTAGAGAAGACACACAAATACAATAAGAAAAGTCCAATTTTACAATTTCAGAAGTGATGTGGACTCCATCGCTTCTGGAAAGACAGGCCTTCCACATCTTTCATGTCAAAGACATTAAAAACTTATTTCATTTTTCTCTTTATCCTACCTTACCACAACTCACATTAAAGAACTGTTAATATTGTTATTCAGCTTAAGTGAGGCTAAACCACATTATCTGCTTACAAATTTTCTAAGCATATATTCTAAACAATAATGCTTCATTAAATAAACCCCAATCAGTACTCTAAAATTACTTTTGCTTTCATTTTCTCTGGTTTGGGGATAAAACTCCTTCCTTGTATGTTAGGCAAGAGTTCTACCAGTAGGTTGCATCCTTACCCCTCATAGTATTTCTGAATTACATTAAATGAAGTAGTGCTCTACCATAACAAGAAAAAAACATGTTCTTCCTTACCAATTCATACTCATCAAACAGTTGTATGAGGGACGGTGGGATGAACATATGAAAACCTTGTAAAAAAGCATTGATCTGAGGCTGAATGGCTCTTGTCATTCGAAGTTCAGTAACAAGCTGGACATACTCTGCCTATAAAAAAAGGTTTTGTAATGAATACATTTTAAATTTCACAGTTAAGCCAGTACTGATACAGCTGTTTTTCATGTACAAGACAAAGGTTTAGAACTAACTTGGCACCAATACTCACCCCTTAGCAAACCAGGAAACACATTCGCTAACCATCATCAGGCCCAAACCTTTGCAACTATCTCCTGCATCCCATGCATAAGCACTCTCAGTCTGGCTCTGCTGTAGCAACTGCACTCTAGCACAACAACCGATTAGTGTATATGTCATCCCCTTTCCTACCTGCACCCTAAACTGCTGTTCTCCACACCCCAGCCACAGATTACATATATTAAAGTCATATTGCTCTTCTCCTTACTGACTTCCTGGAAGTTGAAAATAAAATCCAAATACACTTCCAGTTTTTAAGGCCAATCTTGACTCTACCTTGGTGCTAACAGCACCCCATTTCACTCCTGTTTTCTTGGCCTTATGGCTATTCCTCAAAGGCACCTGCTTAGGTCTCAGGGTCTTTATACTTCCAGTTCTTTGGAGCAAAATATCTCACTGGACTGCTGCATCTCTAAAAGGAAAGGGTTTCTTTACCAGCACATATTCCAAGATGCAAAAAGAAAGGAGCTGCTACCTTATGTTCAATAACAGGCAAAAACAAATGCATACATCTATCAAATACATTTTATGCATACTTTAAATCTGGCTAATTTTACTGTAGCCAATCCAATTCTCAGTTAAAACAGCTTATTTAAAACTGGGCAAGTGGCCCATGCCTTTAATTCCAGCAATTCAGAGGCAGAGGAAGGTAGACATCTGAGTTCAAGACCAGCTTGGTGTACAGCACAAGTTCCGGGACAGCTAGGGATATACAGAGAAGCCTTGTCTTGAAAAACCAAAACTAAAATTAAACAAACAAAAAAGCTTACTTTATCTACTTTTTAATTTTTTTTTACTTTCTTTTTCTTTTTCTTTTGAAATAAGTCTCATCATGTAGCCTAGGAATATCTCACACTTAGAATCCTCCTGCTTCAATTTCCTAAACATTAGAATTATACTGAATTTTATCTTAAGGAACATTTTTCTTCATAGGAAGCAAGCTCACTTAAAATTCAGCAAGTAATAAAAAATGTGTTTGGCACAGAATTATCATGTGTACATAAAATCTATCAAATGTTGGATCTTTTTTCTTTTTAATGCTTCTAAGTCAGACTCCACTGAGTTAAAACCGACAGCACAAACGCTCTACATACTTCTCACCCGCCAGGATAAGGAAAGCCTGCTATGATGATGACTGCCGGGTCACTGGGAAGAAGGACCTAACTGAGAATGTCTCCAACAGGTAGGTAAGTCTGAGGGGCACTTCCTTGATTAGCGATTGATGTGGGAAGGTCCAGCCAACTGTGAGAGGAGTCACTCCTGGGCTACTGGTCCTGGGATGTAGAAGAGGCAGGCTGAGCAAGCGGTGGGGAACAAGCCAGTAAACAGCCTTCCTCTGTGGTCTCCACATCAGCTGCTGCCTCCAGCATCCTGTTCTGTTTCTCTTCCGTAACAGCCCACGATGAAAGGCAGATGGCCCTTTCCTCCCCAAGTTGCTTTGGTTTGTCCCTCAGCAGTAGCAAGCAAACTGAGATGCCTGCTTCTCTCTCCTTCTCCTGTTCTGGCACTGGTCTCATACTGTTTGTTAAGGCTCTGAGCCAGAATGTTACATACAAGTGCAAACTAGGAATTCTCCATAGCTCTGGAACTACAGAACTGTCACAGTCGGTGCCTCATGATTCCCCCAAACCTCATTTGGCAACTTGTATAACTTAGCACAAGAAAAGCAGCCACTTCTATTTTCAATCTACCCCCATCTCTGAATCCCACTTGTCCACTACTCAGAAGGATTTTCCTACAATAGGGACTAATCAGTAACTACCAGTTATATTTAGGCAGTTGAGCGATGGGTACTAGACAATCAAACAGCAATATGTACTCACGTTCCAGAATTTGACCTAGGAAAGTACATATACACACATACCTACTTAGCATTTGCAAGTGACAACCACAGAACTGTCAATTCGTTACTAATACCTAATCACCTTTTAGTTTATGTCTGCTCTCACTAAAACTTTTCACGGAATTATGAACACTTTCCAGACCCATTCAATATTTATACCATTAATGAGCTTAAGGTACAGGAACGCTGAAGAAAAGGAGGTAGAAAAAGTCTCTGAGTCAGAGAGAACCAAGGACACCAGGAGAACAAGTTCCTTTAAATCAAATGAGCAAAGCTCAGATGAACTCACAGAGACTGAAACGGCATGCACAGGGCCTGTGCAGGTCTGCACCAGATCCTCCATGTACGTATTCTAGCTTTCAGTATAGTATATTTATGGGTTTCCTGAGTGAGAAAACGAGTGGGCCTCTCATTCTTGTGCCTATTCTTGGGGCTCTTTTCCTTCTGTTGGTTTGCCTTGTCCAAATTCAATGTAATGGTTTTTGTTTTATCTTATTTTATTATGTTTTTTCAGCAGATTTTTTATTACTTTATAAATAATACTAATCAAAATTTCCACTTCCTCCCCTCTTCCCACTTCCTTCCCTCTCCCCTACTCACCTTCTCTCCTCCCCCTCCAGTCCTAAGAGAGGGCAGGGTACCCATCCAGGCTTAGGAAGGTATGCATCCAAATAGAATAGGATTCCAAAAAGCCAGTACATGCAGTAGAGACAAATCCCAGTGCCATTATCATTGGCTTCTCAGTCTGCCCCAATTGTCAGCCACATTCATGGGTTCCAGTTTGATCCCATGCTATTATGTTTTGTTATTTCTTAGAAGCCTGTTCTTTTCTAATGAGAGACAGAAAGGGAGGGAACTTGCTGTGCAAATATGAAGACCTGATCCCAGCACTCAGGTGAAGAAGCTGAGCCTGGCCTCACACAGGTCTGTAACCCACAGTACTGTGGGGGAGTCGGACAGAAGGATCACTGGGGCTAGCTCCTGGTTCAGTAGGAGACCCTGTCTCGGGGGACTGGGACATCCACACACACATACTCCACACATATACATGTACATACACAATACCTATCCACACATACACAAAAAATCTTAAGTGGGAAGCATTCTGCACTGCTCAGCTGAACTCAACCTATTTTAGCTGTATTCCACATCTATCAGAATAGTACATAGTCCTACTATCTCCACATATTCTATCTTTAAATTAATTCTTGCAATTATACTTCTCTCTCTTCACATTTTCTTCTATTCCTCCTAATATGGTTTTCCACATCTACTTCGGTATCCAGACCATAATTACCAGATGCTGATTTGTGAATATCAGCTTTCTTCATATCCTAATTTTCACACTAAAGTCAAATGAGTTTTGGTTATTATTTTTCTGTAGAATAATAAGATGCTAGCACCGCTAATTCTTATGACTTAACTAATAGAAACCGCATTGATTAAAAAACCCCAACTGCTTCTAAATTTTTTCCTTATCTCTTTAGGAATACATCTTCAAGCAAAAATCAACATTTCTTAACAACTATTACTTCAAAGACCCACTACTACTGCACATTAACATTCCAGCTGGAACTCAGGAGCCTCCTGTCTTTGCCTTGTGAATGTTAGTATCAATTTTAAGACAAGGGACCTAGATGTGCTACATTTTAAAGATTTTACATCTTAGTCAGGTGTCACAGCATACACCTGCAATGCTAGCACTGAAGAGAGGCTGGGCACAAGGACCAACCTGGTCCCACACAGAGTTCAAGGCTAGTCTATAATACATCAGAAGATTCTAAGTGAATGAGAATGGTTCCCATAGGTTCATATATTTCAATGTTTGTTCTGCAGTTGGTGGACTATTTAGAAAGGATTAGGAGGTGTTATCTTGTTGAAGAAGTGTGTCACTGGGGATAGGCCTTGAGGTTTCAAAAGCCCAAGCTATTCCCAGCTTACACACACAGAGACACAAATGCATAAGCGCGTGCACACACACACACACACACACACACACACACTTTCTCTCTTTCTCTCCCTCTCCCTCCCCCTCAACTGCAGATCAGGTTGCAAGCTCTTAGTTATTACTCCAGTCCAATGTCCGCCTGCCTGATGCCATGATCTCTGCAATGATGATCATGGACTCTGACCCTTTGAAATTGAAAACCAGGTATCAATTAAATGTTTTCTTTTATAAATTGCCTTGGCCATGTATCTCTTCATAGCAACAAAAAAGAAACTAAGACACTATCTCAAAAACAAGGAGAGAATTATTAACATACTAATGGCCGATTAATGTTATTAACAGCTACTACCAATCCTGATCATTACAAAACTCTGTAATCAACAAAGTAAATAAGGTTTTAAGATCCTTATTACCATAGTATTCCAACGTTATATGAAACCACAATGAGTGGTCCCCCTCAAAATGAACATATTATCACTTATAATTATCCATCTATCACTTTCCTTTTGCTCTAGCTTTCAAAAGACATAAAAATAAAATCACTAATAAAACAAACATTTTTAAAATCTAAACAAAAGTCATGTTAGGATGGAAGGGGCTGCTAGGAGGGGCACATAAACAGAGCGAAAGAGCACAGAGTCGACGAAAGGCTCTTTCCACTTCGTCGTGTTACATGTGTCTGAAAGGAATGGGGGACTACTCACCAGATACAGTATTCATTTAGAATCATGTTTCATGTTTACAGTTTTTTGCTGATATGCAATCACTGAGTTAACAAAGAGTTTATGATTTCAATACTCTGAATACTTCGGGGTTGATGTGGGAGTGATTTCTTATTAATAAAGAAACTGCCTAGGCCCGTTTGATAGGCCTACCTAAAGGCGGAGAAAACAGAACAGGATTGTGGGAGAAAGAAGCTGAGTCGAAGAGTCGCCATGATTCTCCCGCTCCAGACAGACGCAGGTTAAGATCCTCTCTGGTAAGCCAGCTCGTGGGCTACACAGAATATTAGAAATGGGTTAGAACAATATGTAAGAGCTAGCCAATAAGAAACTGGAACTAGCCGGGCCAGGCAGTGTTTGAAAGAATACAGTTTCCGTGTAATTATTTCGGGGCATAACCTAGCCAATGCGAGCGGCCGGGTGCTGGGGACGCAGCCCTGCCGCTCCTATTTCAACACAGGGTAAACTCAAACAGTAAATGTCATGCAAGGTAGACAATCCTACAGTTAGAAGAGGGCCCAGAGAATGAAGGCAAGTAGAGTGCAAGCCTGACAACCCGAGCTCAATCTCTGGAACCCACACAAGGCTGGAAGGGGAGAACCACTCCACAGCTGTCCTCTAACCTCCACACATGCCCCATGGCAGGTGTATATTCCTACAGATACATCACATACACAATTGTAAAAGTTAACTCGATTCGGGAAATAACCAGGTTAGCTAAAATATAAATAATTACATTTTTATTTATTATAAGGGGAAAACTCACAAAACCAGAATGAGAAGTCCAAGCTTAACTGTACAGCGAGGGCACCACAGAGAGAGAGCACCTGGCCTGTGCACCCCTTTTCTCCAGGTCCCAGAAAGCCACACCCTAACTTGGTCCCACCTCTTAAAGATATTGGTTAACAAGGCTTCCCCATCACACAATAATAAGTTTAATTTTTCATTCACTAAGCTCATATACATTTAAAAACATAAGCAGATTACTATTTTCTTTTTTTATATTTCTATTTACAGTTTAATAGGACTTGACTCACTATATTTTAAAAAAATTGAGTTCTTCAACTCAATTACTGTTTCACACAGGATGAAGGCCACTGGACCTGAACTTCTGAGGTCTAGGCTTTGGCACCACATTGCCATTCATTCTTCCTTTTTTTTTTTTTTTCTTTTTTCAAGGAAACCAAATCTTCAATATATGGAAAACTCAGTGCCACCTGATGCCACGGTCACCAGACCAGGTGCAAGGTCAGCCAGTATATGATGAGGGGCTGAAAGGCAGCCACTCCCAGGGTCAGGTAGAGCTGGAGATACTGCTGAGGGGCTAGGCCCCCCATGACATCCAGAACCCAAGTGTAGTCCACATAGAATGCACAACAAAGTCCATAAGCACAGATGATGTCCAGGCCAGGGCCACACAGCAGCCATAGCTGTGGAAGAGCAACAGTAGAAGCATACTAAGGATTACCTCCATATGTAACCACTACAGGCCAAGACATGAAAGGTACTCAGTTCGCTGCATACAGTCGCCAGGTGGAGGTCCAGAAGCAGGACCAGTACCACCAGTACCACCCATACAAGTACTATGCCTGCACAAATGCCCAACACCCCTGAGGATAACTGCGATGGGATGTTTTGATTGCACTGTGACACTCTGAGACTGTTAAATAAATAAGTTACATCAAGTTCACCTTGAATCAAGGGGGCAGAGCCTGTGATTAGCTGAACTGAAATAATTATAAAAAAATCAGCAATTTGGAAAAAAAAAAAAAAAAAAAAAAAAAAAAAAAAAAAACACAGGAAGCGAAGGGTGGGGGACTACAGTTTGAGCTCTCTTGGCTCTGGGAGGAGGGAAGAGGTGTGTCTCTTGTAGTATGTGCACCCAAAAACCAAGGTCAGCTAGTTGCTACTTAATCTCTCTACTTAGCAGATTTTCTGCCCAGTCTTTCACTCCCAAGTCTTATTGACAAAACAAAAGAGACTTAATTTAAACCTACATATTGCAAGCATGACAGAGTAGTGGCTGCAGAACTGAAAGCCCTGCCAAGCTACAGTCTAAGTGGCCAGTGGGGTGTTAACTTCAGGCCCCACCTGAAGATGATAATTCAAATAGCAGTAGATTCGTGTACAGCTGCTAAGCTGACAGAAAAACAGAGAACTTTTTCTAAATGTCCAGTGTCATCCCAGCCAACAGCACATATGTGATGACATAGAATCAGGAGCATGGAGGTCTTTCTGTGGGGGCAGAAACGCATCATGACTGTAGTGCATTTTCCAGGTCTGATATGTATAGCTGGAGACAAACTTAGCTTCTTAGTTACATGGGCTGTGTCCACAGCAAAAAAAAAAAAAAAAAACCTAGAGTTTGTTCACAGACACAAAACAGTGTAACTCTTGGTACACTATCTCCTTTCCTTGAGTTGCTCTAGAGCTGCCATAGGCCACAGCCATATGCGACCATTGGGTCTCCATGCACGTGGCTGACACTGAATACATCAGCTCCTAGGCTGAGTATCCTCCTGGTAGGCTGGAATAGCCACCATGCATATCATCAAAGAGTGGAGGAGGATCTGGAGCTGCTCTGGTCCTGTGCTTGGAACCGTGGTCTCCAAATCCTGAGTTCACCAGGACAGACACTCTACTCAAGGGCTAGCTGCATGAGTCGTGGGTTCGAACACTACTGAAAAGGCTTCTTCTCTTGCCCAGCACTGGCTAAAATTACCCAATCGCGCAACACACACCAGAACTGGCTGCCTGGGGCTGCCATATTCATGGCTTTAGGTTTCTATGTCCTGTGTATAAAGTCACTTGGAAGACTAAAAATATCTATAAGTTTGAATGCGGGAGGGCACAGCCCATGGTAGGTGAAGCCATCCCTGGGCTGCTGGTCCTGGGTTCTATATGAAAGCAGGTTGAGTAAGCCGTGGGAAACAAGCCAGTAAGCAGCACTCATCCATGGCACCTGCATCAGCTGCTGGTTTCAAACTCCTGCCCTGTTTGAATTCCTGTCCTGACTTCTTTCAATGACAAACAGCAATGTGGAAGTATAAGCCAAAAAACCCTTTCCTCCTCAACCTGCTTTTTGGTCATGGTATTTCACTGCAGCAATAGAAACACTAAGACAGAAATATACAATAATACAATATTGTATTATACTAAATATAATCAATATTTAAGTCAAATTTAAAACAAATGTTATGTATAGATGATATAATAAAACAATTAAATTATGTATGTATGTGTTAATATATATAAAATCAAGAGGTAGGATTTACTGGAACATGAAAACACATACAAAGTTTAGACACTGAGATTTCTATGTTAAAACACTTTAATCTGGTACAGGAGATAGTTCTGTGAGTAAACTGTTTGCTACACAAGTTTAGGAAACTGAGTTCAGATCTCTCAGATCCATGTGAAAGCCAAGAAAGGAGCTGTGCTTCTGTAACCCCAACCTTGGGGGGCGGGAGGGGGGGACATCCATGGGTGACTCAAAGGGAATCACTGGCCTGACAGTGTAGCCAAATTGGTGGACTTCAGGTTCCTGGGAGATATTGTCTCAAAAAAATAAGGCAGAAGAAACAAAAACAGTGTTGAATCAATTACTCAGACACACAGAGAGAATAAAAGTGGATATCCTTTCAGGTACCCCTTGCTTTTTGATCTTTCATGGGTCGCTGCAGGCCTGCCCTGTAACGTCTGCCAAAAAGTGAGGAAGTCAATGCACACCCACGGAGCCTACCGTCCACTTCACACATTAACCCACTCTTTTTCTCACTTAACAATGGACTCTAGAAAGCGTTATATAGACATACGGCACATAATAACTGATGAGTAGGAATGTCGCTTCTCAGATCACACCACTTCTGTGGAGAGCTCCTTTACATGCAGCTGCACCCACGCAAGTGTTCCCCAGGTATAAGTCTCTAAAATAATTGTCACACGAAAGTACATAGTTACACTAAGTGTCAATAAATACTGTTTGAATACCCCTACCCATAAAGGTAAAAAAGCAACTGTTAGTATGACAGCCCAGGGTCGCCTGCCCTCCACATGCTTTGGCACTGGAGACATGTCTGCTCACGCCATGTTTACACCACATGCATGCGTTCAAATAAAACTCCCTTAATATCTAGCCTTTCAAATATAAATAGTGATTACTGCACGTACTACCATCGTTTAGTTTATATTTCCAATCTTTTTTTTTTTTTTTTTTTTGGTTTTCCGAGACAAGGTTTCTCTGTAGCATTGCAGTCTGTCCTGGAGCTAGCTCTTGTAGACCAGGCTGGCCTCAAACTCACAGAGATCCGCCTGCCTCTGCCTCCCGAGTGCGGGGATTAAAGGCTTGAGCCACTACCACCTGACCCAATCAAATTTTTTAAAATGTAGCCGCCTAACTTCCACAATCAATTAAAAGGTGTTCTACACTGCCTTGCTAACCATATCATCACAGTACCAGACCAAAACTAACTCGAGTCTTCAATGTGATAGTTTGGTTAACTTGAGTACTTTCATCTTCTAGCAATGACAAAGCGCATTTTTCTAGCAAATGTTGGAATAATGTAGAGAAACTGACAATCAGGACCATTTTAAGAATAACTGAGGTGAAAATCTGAATACTCACTTTGTTATTTTGCGTCACAAGAATACTTCCACCCCCAGGCTTCAAAGGCACCTCTTCCATTGCTCCAAACACGTCGGTCTCAACAGAAAACGTCAGCTCTAGACCCAGGTCACTAATATCATTATCTAAAATCCACTGCAAATTTTTGGCATATTCTGGATCAATAGATGATACATCTTGGTAATTTACAGGAATACCTAAAAAATAGCAAGAACAGCATTACATGCTTCTGACTTTCCTTTACCTATTTAGTGGTAAAATGCTGCCCTCTACAGATACTCTGCAAAACAGCAAAGTATAATCAAATCTGCAGCATGTAAAAAAATGGATGCTCATTTCTAAATTTAGAGTCCATTGAATGAAGCTGCTGTTCCGTCCACATCTCTACAATGCAGTCTTTCTTTGAGACAGCTATTTAGGAAACTGTTATAAACTTCAGAATTAACAATTACTTTAGGTACACGCACATAAAAATGGACACTTTGTATAAACACATATACACTAAAATGGTAGTCATAAAAGTCTAAATGTGCTCCTTCTTAAAAGAAAGACATTTTTCTCCCCCTCTAGCCCCCAGATACCTTAGGAATGTATGGCCTCTAACCAGAATAGCAATTATTTCAATAAAAATGGTAGTATGCTTATTATAAGTTCTCTCTAAAATCTGTAAAACAGCAATGTAAACGTCTACAGAAATACCAAGAAACCCATACCAAGAATGTGCTTGTAGAAAGACCGTGTGAAGTAAATATTGACCAACTGCCTGTGATTTAAAGCTAATCCCAAGATCTGTCCAGCAAACCGGAAATAGTTCAAGTGATCAGGATTCACATAGGAGTTGCTATTGGGCTGAAAAGTCGTTCCTATTGAAATAAATACAAAGGTAAGATGTATTTGCACTAGAACAATTCAATGCAGGTAAAAATTATCCACATGTAACTCAAAGGCCATGGCTACATTATGTAGTTCTTTGTAGAACACATAAACAAACAGTAGAATGGGAGTATAAAAGATAAACATTAGTTCACACTTCTCAGGATAATCTGTGTATAGAGAGAAAGTTATCAAGAGATCCTGGTAAAACACGACAAAAGGTCATACACATTTACAATGCACATCTTTCTAGGTACTATGGCAGTAGTTATTCAGCTATGAACGCGGGCAGACATTGCCTCGTTCATCTATATATGCCCAGCACTCACTAGAGTTTGCATGTACAGCTACAAAATATGACAAAAATAACCACTCTTTAGTATTAGACCTAATCACTGAATGTGATGCCTTAGGAATCAGAAAATCTGCTACACCTAAAATTCATCCAATTCTTTCAAAAGGCAAATAAGTTTAAACAACTACTAATAAGCGAAAGTAAAAACAGCAAGGGTATTTCTATGAACTCTATGGAATAGATAAATTTTAAAAAGTCACAATAAATTAGTGTTACTTGAGGCTAGAGGGAGCTGAATCAAAGACACAGAGTCTCCCCTTGAGTTGATGGGAAAGTTCTGGACTTAGGAGTGGCGACAACTATATAGCATAGCAAATGTACTTAATGCTAGCACACAATCTACTTTCCAATGGCTTCAATTGTGAATTTTGTATTTTACCAAAACAACTAGTACAATGACAAAATCTAAAGCCACATCTTGACTTTATCTCTCCTTCAATACATTTTCTGGCCATTAACACGGATTACAAATTCATTCATTCATCTAGTAAAATATACACGGAGTTGATGCTTTACACTACTATTCCTGGAAACAAGACTAAAACAGACTAGCTGATAAAACTAATGAAATGGCAGCAAAGTGGACAAGTAGTAGAAAGTGAAATGTCTAGTCACTCAAAATACTTGTCTTGACAGTTCACTTGGAGTTTTCATAGATCTTTGATTTCCAGTGCAACACTGGACTAAACTGCTGTAACCACTATACAGGTGCTAAGCAGCAAATCTGGAAACTTGTGATGATTCAATAGGCATGTGAAACATATCATTCACTCTGAACTGCCTCTCACGGTGACCTATTGCAAGGCAAGATTAACAGCCACAAAGATTTCAAAAATAAACATAACAATAATTCTAAAAAAATATGCTGAAAATAAATATACTGTTTACTTTCTTAAGTAGTAATGCTTTGGATTATAGATGTACCAGCAAAGACTTTGGTGACTCTACTTTCTTCTCCTAGCTCTGCATATTCCTTCACTAACAAGTTTCTAAGAAAACTGGATTTTTTAAAAGAAAATTTAAAAAAATAGTATGTAGGCAAAAATCTTCAAAAAAGAATTTTTTATTTGAACAAAACATTAAAAGCTTGTGTTAAACTTAAATCCAAATATATCTGTGACCCTGCCAGCTTCTTAGTTTCAGTATTAAAAACTGTTTAACTGGGATGGAGAGATGCTCAGTGGTAAGACACTCTTCCAGAAGACCAGAGCGCAGTTCTCAGCACTCATACCTGGTAGCTCACAACTGCCTGGAACTACCGCTCCAGGGAAATCTGGTGTCTCTTGCACCCATGATCATCTGCATTTGCACACATATACACAATTAAAAATAATTCTTAAAAATCCAGAAAATTTTAAGTTAAGTGGTGGTGGCACACACCTTTTATCCCAGCACTCGGGAGGCAGGGGCAAAAGCATCTCTGTGAGTTTGATGCCAGCCTGGTCTACAGATCAAGTTGCAAGATAGCCAGGGGTAAACAGAAAAACCTGACTCAAAAAACAAAAACAAAATACAAAATCTAAAAAAGATTTAAAATATGACCATTTTTCAAATAAATAACTTTACTGAAATATTTTTAAGAAATAGTTAACATTTTTCAAGATAGAAATCCTATTGGATAAGAAAGTATTTCAAAAATAAAAGTAAGAACATCTAATATTTACTTCCCACTCTCCTTGTGCTGGGGACTGAGCTGTGTTTTCATGTATCACCTAACCAAATTCCTATTTTAAAACACAGATTAACATCATGATTTAAAAAAAAAAATGTTTGAGGTTCAGGAAGGTTATGCTCCTGGCCCAATGTTCACAGGAAAAGAAGCGAGTCAGGATTCACATCTACTATCATTGCAGAGGCCAAAATCTTAACTGCACTGTGTCTCTATCTTAATTTGATAAGAAAATAAATTTTGTTTTTTACAATACATTAGGTCTATCTAAACATTCCCTACATCAAGAATTCTTAAATCCCAAATGTAATTCCTACTTAACAACCATACCTAAAAACAGGGAATATATAAACACTATGACAACCAAAAGACTTACACGAATTACAAAATGAGCAGATTAAAATCTTAGCCTGTATGATTATACATACACTCTGCTCTCACTCACATCAGTTAGGAAGTACATCCATGCTGACTCTATAGGAAGTACATCCATGCTGACTCTAGCTTTAAAAACTAGGCCTACACAATTAAACTTCTTGTTTTACTGAACTCATCATAAAAATCACCAACACCAAATTCACCAAACTGACATCACAGCAAACAATCAGAGACAGGTTACAGAGTTGAAGCAGGATGTTCCACATCTCTAAGTAATTTCCACTGCTCCAAGTGTGTCAGAGATACTTTTGAACAGAAACATGCCTACAGACGTCTGCCTTCCCCATAGCCCATCCTGGTGCCTCCCTTAACTCTTCTCATTAAACAGGCACTTGCTGCTACTTTGGTTGAAGAAGTTATAAATAGTAAGACATTCTCTTCTTTCAAAAGTACAAATACTGGAAAAAAGAATATTTTCAAGAGAAATAAGCAAACATACAAAGCATTTGAAAACTGAAATCCCATCTTCACTTCAAATATGTCTTTATTAAATTAGCTTGCTCTCAGATATTCTTCTCAAAACGAGTTAGTAGCCATTAGCATTTAGTTTACAGTATTAAATTATATCTTTATATAGGTTACAAGAACCATCTCCACAAACAGTGCTTCATCTTATTACATGGTTAAGTACATGCTTTTTATTTTTATTTATGTGTCTAGCCTTTAATGGCTGAGCCATCTCTTCAGTCCAAGTGCAATGTTTTTTAGCTGCCTGATTTTGATCTCTTCAAATGACTAAAAATAAAGCCAGTATGAATAAATGAATTAATATGGAACATCCTAAATACTGGCCTAGAGTTTCATAATCAATAGACTTTACAACTTGGAAATGCAAATAGGGTTACCAAATTTATGATTTCAAATACTTTTTAAAGTACATCTACTATCATTTTATAAAAGAAAATGTCAACTAAAAGTAATAATACCGTAACAAAAAACCTTAAATTGAGTAAATTTTAATGTTCTAAAGAGAAGTTTTCAGGGCCTTGAGACAAGCATTTGGAAACTGTTTAGGAGAAAGCTCTGTAAGGACAAAACTCCAAACTTCAGCTTTCTCTTCTGGCATCTCATCCACCAAGACAACAGGGCTATTAAAAGAATCGAAGACAAAATGCAGTCACAGAAAGGTCTAGACTACACAACTTACCATCTGCTGACTGGGTAAACAGGGCATAATCAGGATTGACTATCTCATTAGACAGAATATCAAACCACTCACGCACAACACCTTGACCCTAAATTCAAGAAAATAAAATTTAGCAAGAACAGAAATATATTGCACTTAGACATATTCTCATAAATAATAACAAAAATTTAAATTAAATTCAATTACTGTATTTATCAGGTCAATATTAACCTCTGTAAGTGTGTTATGACATTTTATATACCCACCATGCCTTCCTCTCCATGAAATCGTACAGCAATCCCCTGCTTTAGTTTTGCACAATTTGCTTTTGATACAATTTCACAGCTACTCCTAAAAATAGAATCTAAATATGTAGCATTGGTTAATTTTAACATATTAAAACTTATAATAACGACTACGTTATGGCTTATCCATTTATCAGTTTCTTTGTGTAGCATACCTCTGTGAACCAGGAGAATATCATTTTCATTCACTGGCCTGTGTACCATGTCTGAGTCTGGCTGTCCTGAGTGCAAATGTTCATAGAACCATTCACAGCGATCTTTAAATGGCTACCCCAAAAAATGACAGTAAAAATACGTTATCAGTATTTAAAACACCTAATTACCAGATCAAAAAAATGCAATCATTAATGTTCTAACTTTTCAATAAATATTCACAGAGAAGTGATCTTAATTAAAATACCTTGTCTAATGTATTTTTAATTCCTAAGTTTTCAACAAAAACTCATAAATTACATCAAAGAACTTAATATCAGATATGTAGCATACTCTAAATCTTTTAAGTCAAATAATGCTTATATGAATGCATTTTCACACCCAGAAAAATTATACTGACTGTTTCATTTAATTTTTTAAATACTGAACTTTTGAGCTTGAGATATAGCTCAGTAGTTAAGAGCATACAGTTCTTGTAGAGAACCTGAGTTAAATCCCCAAAATCCCTACCAGACAGCTCACAATTGCTTGTTGCTCCAACCTTAAGGGACTCAATGTCCACTTCTGGCTTCCACAGGAACCTGTACTCACATGCGCATGACAACACACACACATATATACATAAATAAACTATTTTTAAACTAATCTTTTATGCCTAGTTCATTCTTATTTCTTTTCTTAGGAATTGAGGCAATAGATACAATTTTATTTATTATCTTTCAGCCTCTCCTCTCTTTACCCTAAAAACATAAAGAACTCTTGAAAATTTTACTATACTCACTCATCTGTCATGGAAAACAAACTCAAATAATCCCTAATTTTTATGATTAATCAGAAATTGATATTAAATATCTAGTATATGCAAATGCTGCAGGTCATTTGAGTACATAAGAGTAGTCGAAATTTTAATTTCAGATGAAAACTGCTTGACAGCCGGGCGGTGGTGGCACACGCCTTTAATCCCAGCACTCGGGAGGCAGAGGCAAGTGGATCTCTGGGAGTTCGAGGTCAGCCTGGTCTACAAGAGCTACTTCCAGGACAGGCACCAAAGCTACAGAGAAACCCTGTCTCGAAAAAAAAAAAAAAAAGAAAACTGCTTGACATACCTAAAAGATTGAGTTAATACAGAATATATATGTACACAATACCAAGTTCTCAACAGGGACAAGCAAAGCCATTAACAACAAAAATTAATCAAAGGATGAGGACAGAGGCTTTGCAGGATCACAGTTCGAACTATGACTTAAAGTTGGGTAGAACTTGCTCAGAACACAGGAAAACAGGCATATCAATTTAAGGGAGACAGAGAAAAGCACAGAAGGTGACACTGGGTCCCTTTGGAAGATGCAGCAGAGGTACCGGCATCACTGGAATGGATAAGTGAACTGAGCAGATAATTAGCAAGAGTGAGATGATGCAGTACAGGAGATACTTCAGTCTGGAACCCTATTTCATTCTGCCTATGCACACATATCCCTTCTGAAACCGCTCTTGACAGCCTAGTTCTTCATCTGCACACAGTATGCACACACACCTCTCTCCAAACAATGCATAAGAAACCTCAGAACCACCTCAAAATCCCTCCTGGATTGGATATGTGTACTGCAGTATGGACTTCTACTCAGGTTCACTCATAGTGCATCCAGTACCGACAATACCCAAAGGAAGACTTTTTACAGCAGGTTTCAGGACACCACAACATCTCTTCATTCCAGTTATACTAAATATTGGGTTTCAAGATAAACTAAAATGTTAGTTTGTGAGCTAAATATTTTTTGGGTAACATACATGGATTTTATGTGTGTGTGTGACTATGTGAACATCTGTATATATAACCACTATTAAATAACAGTGAAATGTACAATATACTTGAAGTTTTCTTTTTCATATTTTTTATCAACTTGACACATGCTAGGATCACTTCAGAGGAGGGACTTAACTGAGAAAATGCCTCAAGAAGATCTGGCTGTAGGAGGCCTGTAGGCCATTTTCCTAATTAGTGTTGATGGAGTAGGGCTCAGCCCGTTGTGGGTGGTGCCACACCCCCCCACCCCCCGGACTAGTAGTCCTAAATTCTATAAGAAAAATTCTGACGAAGCCTTGAGGAACAAGACAGTAAGCAACATCCCTCCATGGCCTCTGCATCCGCTGCTGCCTCCAGGTTCCTGCCCTGCTTGAATTCCTGTCCTGGCTTCCTTCAGTGGTAAACAGCGATGTGGAAGTGTTAAGCCAAATAAGTTCTTACCTCTCCAACTTGCTTTAGTCATGGTGTTTTATCACAGCAAAAGCAACCCTAACTAAGACCCTTCCTTTCTTAAGTTGCTTCCTGTCAGGGTATTTTCTTGCAACAATAGGAAAAGTAACAATTAATAATACTAACTACCTTTACTAAAGGACAGCCAGCTTCTTCCATTTGTGCTTCCCAGGTGACCAGTGGGTAAAAAGGAAAGATATGTTTTATATTTTTGTACAAATACTTTTTCTTCCTTTTTTGGTTTTTTGAGACAGGGTTTCTCTGTGTAACAGCCATAGCTGTCCTTGAACTAGCTCTGTTGATCAGGCTGGCCTTGAACTCACACAGATTCACCAGCCTCTTTCACGCAAGTGCTGGGATTGCACCACCACCACCCAGTCTGCGCAAATACTATTAAGGAGAGGTTCTGAAATCTGTGTGTGTGTGTGTGTGTGTGTGTGTGTGTGTGTGTGAGAGAGAGAGAGAGAGAGAGAGAGAGAGAGAGAGAGAGAGAGAGAGAGAATTATATGTTGGCAGGATTATCTTATTTTCCTGGTACAAAGTTACTCCTATGAGAGCCAAAATTACATTTTAAGTTTTAATTACTATGACTAAGAGATCCCTGAAACAAAAGTGCCTCTTATCTGCAAGCCCCTTGCCCAAGGACAGACAGTTCCTGAAATCCTGGAGGCCATTGTTCATGGGAGATAACAAGCCACATGTTTTTCACTCCTACAACAAGTTTGTTTGGCTCATCTGCACCAGATGGGCTTGATCACCTGTGGGCAGGAGGTTCACCTGCAGGAAATACATCAGGATGAAGGCTTGCCCCTATTTGAATGGAGGCTGGAGGAACTTCAGGATGTATGCTTGCCCCTGATTGGATCTGATGTATTTCCCTAATGGGAACTACTGAAGCTGCTGAAAACCCTGATTTGGGGCCATCTTCTGGAAGCCTAGAGATGGACCTGGCCAGAGCACCCACCTGGCCAGTATCTGATTAAAGCTTGCTCCAGATTTGGCTTTCAATGTGATAGTGGTCTTATTCTCGACTTGTGGGATTAACAAACAGTCCAGAAACAAGACGTTAACCTCCCAATCAAAGCTTAATAGCGTATGATCAAAATCTACCTTTCAGAACGAATTTCTGCTGCAGTCAGCACCGCGTTTCAAATGCTGCCCTATTTTCATGCACTGATCCTCACCGTGGCCACAATCTTCACCCTTTTTCACTCAAAACTTCACACACTGTCCAAGGTTTTCAGAGCCACTTAAAAATCTATTTCCTGTTTTGAAATCTCCCCTCACTACAACACCCAAAAAAAAAGCTCTCTTAAAAGAGCCTAATAATATGATAATTACTAACTTATAGATACATTTATTATCTTCCCTGTTATATTTAGTTACAGTTCTCTTTGAGGGTCTGAAAAGATAGCTTAGTGATTAAGATCACTGGCTCCTCTTCCTCTATAAGACCTCAGTTTGATTAGCCACATGTTGGCTAATGCTGTCCTTTAATTCCAGCCCCAGAGACTCCCTCTGGCCTCTGGGTATGCTGAATTCATGTGTTCTACACACACGCAGGCAAAAACACTCACCAAAAATTTTTTAAAGCCCCTTTGAAAGCAAAAGAAGCTTAAAGTAAAATTACTAAACAGAATTCAGAATCTGAAAATTAATTTCAGAGGACTAGAGAAATGGTTCAGAGGTTAAGAGGCGCCGGATTCAATTCTCAACACCCACATGCAGTCTGTGACTCCAGTCTAAAGGATCTAATATCTGCTTCTGCTCTCCACAGGACCAGGCACCACACAATCCACAGACATACAGGCATGCAAAATACCCATATGTACAAAATAATGAAATAACATTTCCTTTAAAAATAACAATTGTAGCCAGGCAGTGGTGGTGTTTGCCTTTAATCTCAGCACTAGGGAGGCAGCCTGACCTACAGAGTAAACTTTGAGACAGCCGGGACTATTACACAGAGAAACCCTATCTAGACAAAGAAAAAAAAAAAAAAAAAAAAAAAAAAAAAAAAAAAAAAAAAAAAAAAAAACAAAAAAAAAAAACTGAATTTTAAAATTAAAAAAAAAATTACAAAAGAAAAACATTTTATTTCATTATATTAACAATAAGATAAAGAAAATCTGTACCTGTGCTTTTATGATATGCATGAACCTTGACATCAACTCAGGACACTCAAGAAGAAAGTGAAAATGGTCAAATATAATTTTGGGATTTCTAAAAGAAAAAAGGAACAATAATCATCACTGAGTGAAATGCAAATTCAGATATAAAATGGTGAAGTAGAAGGAAAGAACATATTTTTTTCTACTTGCTATAATTTTGTTAATGAGCATATTTTAAATAGTAACAAAGTTAATTTCTTTTCTGTTTAAATGAATATGTATAAGTAGAGAAAAGGGCTGCCAAGATAGTCTAGGAATCCCAGAAAGCCTTACCTATTCACAAAGCATTTTAGCACTTCATCATGTTTGCAGACAAATTCAATGAAACGAGGAGAAGTCATTCTGGGTGTGGAAGGGAAAAAGCAATCAGGATGTACAACGCTGGCAATACAATATCTAAATTCAATAAATACATTTTAAGTGGGACTAACTCCTAGACCAAAAGTAAGAACTAGATACACATCTTCCTTATCGACTAAGGACCCTGTCAATATGTACAATGGAATAACACAGGAAACTTGTTATTAACAAATGATAGAAACAAGTGACTTCTAGAAACTGTAAAATTTTCTGCAGCTCTTTACATAGTAGCATTCACAAATTTACATAAAAATAAATGTATATACTTTCAAAAATTTAAATATTTTTACTAGGCTTGTATTAGTGCAATGAATATCCTAAAACAAAATAAGAATAGAGCCTAAAAAACCAACAAATTACATTTGCTTTCACTGAAACTACAAAATTATTGCAGCTTTTCTTCATCTACCAAAGGAAAATAGTATTCAGTCAAAACTTTCTTACCCAGGAGGCATCTGACAGGAGCAGCACATGTAAAAAGCTTGAATGACAGCGCTTAGCCGGTTGGCTGTCATAGCAACAACATCCTGACAGTCTGCACTGGCTTCCTGACTCCCCGCAAGCACATCTGGCTTGGACTCCCCTGTGCCCACGGACAGGTGTTCACAGCTCCCAGGGCCTGAAGGTTCAAATGGTGAAATGGAAGCAGCACCTTGATCCTGGCCTTTTTGTTTCAGTAAAATAGAAGTGATATCCGTTGAGTCCTTTTTGTTTTTCATTAATTCTGTGGCTATTAAAACTAACCATTCATCTAATGAGTGCCAAAGCAATTCCAAAGGCTAAAAAGAAAAGAAAGGAGCTTTTTAAGTATCATTCTTAAGTTCATGATGTTTTAAAGACAAAAACTAAAACCTCACATCCAGATAGAGAGGATAAGAAATTTATTCCAGGTACTTTTATATTCCTACATCTATATGACTTGGGGAGCTTAATAGTAATAAAAGTACACATATGTTAAATAAATTAAACTTGTATGTGTATTATTCCTTTAGAAAAGGAAAGTAAGATCTAACAAAGATTTGTAAGCACTCACTCATTTTCAAATACATATTTAAGCTACTTATTACTTTCATAATCGCTTAACATTGATTATCATGATGTCAGCACCTCTCAAACAAAAACATTATTTAAATTTAAAAACCTGAAAATTTAACAGAACTAATGAACCATTCATGGTGCTTCTTGAAAAGCATTCCTACATTTTTATAATTTATAATATGAAATTACAAAGTGGGACATACTACAGATGTCTATTAAAATATCCACTTCTAATAATTAGTAATTTTTAGAATTATCCTGTTACTTTGGTGTGGTATGTGTATGCAGTGCCCAGTGAAGCCAGAAGAGGTCATCAGATCCCCTGGGACTGGACTCACAAATGATTGTTAACCACCATATGGGTGCTGCAAATTGAACCTGAATCTCCTGCTCTTAACTGCTGAGTCATCTGTCTAGCCCCAATAACCAGTAATTTTTAAGACAAGAAATATAATGACTGAACTATCAAGGAGGACAAGAAGATGGCTCAGCAAATTAAGCCACTTGCCACCAAGCCTGACAACATGCATGCAATCCCTAGGACACATATGAAGGAGAGAACTGACTGTGAAGGCTGTCTTCTGATCTCTACACACAAACCTTAACACACACACGATACATGCACATATGTGTGAATATACAATAAAAAGTGTAATAAAATTTTAAAATGTGTGTTCACCACTAAAGGAAAACGGACAGACTAGAATATTGTGGGAATTTCCCCACTGTCAGCAATCAAACCTAGGACCTCAAGCACACTAAGCATACACTATACTATTCTGCATCTCCACCTAGTCCTTAGCAAATTATTATTGTTGTTGTTCTCCTTTTTCTAAATTTTAAAACAGAGTCCTGGGACAGCTTCAATCTACCAACGTAACCAAGGCAACCTTGAACTCCAGATTCTCCTGCATTCACTTCTCAAGTGCGTGAGATTAAGGCAAAAAGGAGCTGGAGATAAACTGAATCTTACTTCTAAATACCAAATATTCCTGCTGAGAAGAGTGAATGCCTATCTTTGAGATAATCATATATACATTTTATTGTTTAAACCATGTCATCACAGAACAAATACCAGAGGTGAAATATAAATGACCTATAACAATTAGTTTATAAAGTGCACAAAAATCCACATTCCCAACTACTGGAAGGGAGTACAGGGTAACAGCCCGTCATAGCATGCATGATGTTAAATACTCCTATTATGAATTAGCTGTAGTCAGGTGATGGTGGCACATGCTGCATTTAATCCCAGCACTCGGGAAGCAGAGGCAGGTGGATCTCTCTGAGTTCCAAGCAAGGAACTATGGAGTGAGTTCCAGAAGAGCCAGGACTACACAGAGAAGCCCTGTCTAAAAAACAATTAGCTGTCTTTCTCCAAGTGAACATTTAATCTTACTTTGAACACTGAATAATTACAGATACTACAAAGTGGACCGAGCATTTAAGAAAGACCTACCTTAAAATACCTCACCTAAAAAGTAACAACTAAGTCATCTTGACTTCAGGAAAGAGACTAAACAGCCATATTTCCAATCTCAGAAAATGTTTAAACAGCCTGTTCTGCCAAGAAAAGCTTCACAATATCTATTAATAACAATACCCTCACCACAACTCCCTTCTTGCTTTTCTTCAGCTTTCTCTAAGCTGAGAATTTTACTTACTGAATTTGCAAATAATTAACTCATTCCTATTTTTGTACATTAAAAAAATCAAAATTAAGTTATAAGAACTGCACTGAACAAAAGTCTAATTCACTGACTCAATAAATACTATACTCCAGGTACTAAAGAAACCTAAGTATCTTCTTTTTAACAAAATTAATTTTACCTTCAATAAAGCTGAAATGCGTACCCTCTTACCTAGAAGGCTGGGTTTTCAACACTTAGCCTTATAGATGGAAGACTTAGGATCCCCAATGATTAAGAACGAATCAGCTGACACAAACATGAGACTGCCACTGGAAATATCTTAGAATTCTCATCACAATCCAAGATCAAACATCAAACTACCTATGTAGTCTCATTATGTCAGAAAACTACTTAATTTTCCTGCAGAACGGAACTTCTGAGTGGAAAAACAGGGATCTGTCAAGTGCTGCAAGAAAAGAAAAGGGTAACTGGCCTCTAATCAAATGATCATGGCAAAAATATTAAAAGGAAAAACTAGAATTTTTTTTAAATGGAAGAAAAAATAAAATAATTTGGTGGTTTTCTATTTTTGTTATTCTTTCCCCCTTTGTATCATCTTACTGTATTTAGGTCATACACACAATAAAGCCAAATCCCATCCCAGACAGGACTTTACCTAAGGAATTATCTAAAAAGAGAAGTCACTTGTTAGTCACAAGAGTGAACACTGTGGAAATAATGACTCTCCAACTCTAATAAATCACAAGTAAAGTACTGAACTGAGTGAAGCTCTTTGGTACACCACATGTCTTGTAGCATAGTGAAGTAAGTGAACTACTGCATCCCACAGCTATGGGGCTTGCAACACTTACTTATGGATAATAAAATAAACTGGATACAAAGTGTATAAACCAGCTGCTACTGAAAACGATGAGCTGGTGCTATTGAGCTAGCTCAGCAGGTAAGAGCACTGGCAGAAGTAAAGAGGATTCAGGTTCAGTTCCCAGCACCCACATAATGACTCAGATATCTGCAACCCCAGTTCCAGAGGATCCAACACCCTCTACTGCACTCTGTGTGTGCCAGGTATGTGTGTGGTACACAGACATATGTGCAGACAAAACATCCATACATATAAAAAAAATTTTAAAAGAAAAAAATTAATCAATGATAACAAGAATATCAAGCATTATCAAAATAACTGCTCACCTCATAAACTGAGAATTCACAACCACAAAATTACATTTCTACACACACGCCGGGCGGTGGTGGCGCATGCCTTTAATCCCAGCACTTGGGAGGCAGAGGCAGGCGGATCTCTGTTAGTTCGAGACCAGCCTGGTCTACAAGAGCTAGTTCCAGGACAGGAACCAAAGCCACAGAGAAACCCTGTCTCGAAAAACAAAACAAAACAAAAAGAAAAAAAAATTTCTACACACACAATAGTGATATGACATAATCATGTGAATCACAAACAACTTTAAAGTATACACTAAGAATATTACACATTATATATGACATATACATAACTCTAAGCTTAACGGGAAACTTTTTTTAAATCTCAAGATAGGCTAAAGTGAAATCGAAATCTGACGGGAAAACTTAATGACTATCATAGCACTTTCAAATCCTGTTATCAAATAGATAACGTCAAATGCTACAACCAAAAAAAATGGCTTCTGAGAATCTTTTTCTAGGTTGCAATTCTATGAAACTATTAAAAGTCGCAACTTACTATTCATAGGAAGAGAGGGGAACAACAACACATAAGAAACCTAACTCTCTTCCCTAAGCTCACTGGTCCAACAACAAAAACAAAATTCTCTCTCAACTACTGCAAAGTTGCTAGACACTGAAAGAATGGTGAAGTGTTAAGATTAACTTAAAGGCCTTCAAAATGAATCCGATAACTACTAATCGCCTAGAAACACACTCAGTCCTAACGGAAGGCCACTGCTTAATCCTAACAATGAAGTGACATGCCAGTGTACACGATTAAGAGACTGCAAGTAGGAATCAAGTGCTGCCTCAGACAGAATTTAGTTTCCAGTCTAACACTACAGCGGATCAGCAATGCCGAGGTTACAACTTGACAACCCCACAATGAATGTCATATGAAGTTGGATAGCAACATACAGTTTATACTTTATCTTTACACACAAGAAACTACATGATTTCCCATCACTCAAAGATGCCAAAGTTCATTCATAAAGCTGTAAAAAGACTAAGAGAAATTTTAATAGTTAATACTTAATTTCTATATGTGGAAGTGTTATCACTGTGGGGACAGACTTTGGGATCACTACTGCTTAGGCTTCTAACACTGTGACTTTTAGTCGACTTCCTGTTGCCTTTAAAAGGTAGGAATCTTGGCTATTTTTCCTGTACCACTTCTGCCTGCCATCACCATATGTATCACCAGCATGATGATAACTGGCTGGACCTCTGAAACTGTAAGTGAGCCATTCTAATTAAGTGTCTTACTTTATAAAAAGTTACCATGGTCATGGTGTCTCTTTACAATAATAAAAACCCAACTAAGACACTTATCAACCACACTTCAGGACAGGCCCCATGACCAGAAGGAGTTGATCAACAATCAACAAACTTCGTTATGCTTTTGTTTTGGGGAGGTAGGGGACCTTTTTGGTTTTGTTCTATAATGTTTTGTCTTATTCATTTATTGGTTTTCATTTGAGAAAGAGGGAGAAGATGGAGGAAGAAATAAGATAATGAACATAAGGTTGGTGGCTAGGGAGGTGGGGGATCTGGGAGGCAACATGATCAAAACATTGTATGAAAAAATATTTTAAAAAATTAAACAATCAGCATATAGATCAATGATAGAGCACTTGCCTAAACTATAAGGTGCTGAGTTCACTACAGCAAAATAAAAATAAAAGGAAAGAAAGCCCATAAATATGACAAAACACAAAGTCTGGATTTCATTAAACAAAGAAAAAAATGTCATCTAGCATATGTGAGGTCATGTATTTAAAACACTGAAAAGAGACAAGGTGGGAAACAACATATTTAGCATACTTTTTTACAGTTGAACCTCTACTATGTAGAAAACTAGCATTAAACCAAGTATTATGTATATGCTTACAGAGTCAATTAGCAAGAGAAACTCAGATTTCAAGAATAATGAAAAAATCAATACTGAGAACAATGATCATTGCCTATACCTACTAGGATTTTCTTTTTATCATTACACAAGAGTAGAAAGTGAAATCAGGGGTAGAAACTGTCCTAACACAGTGAGCCATACCAGAATACAGTAGGAACTCCATAGGATATGATGTGGAGCAACTCACTTAACACAGCACTGACAAAAGAGCAGATCATTCACTCGGGTCGGTATGTTACAGAAATAGTAAACTGTCAATCCTAACTAAAGGAAGCAGCACATTGAAAGTCAATCTGAATTAAAAAATGCTTATTTCCTTCTTCCAGAAGGTGGCACAAGAGAGAGAGTAACGAAAAAAAATCAAATATGTAAAAAGGAACCATATGTATAGACCAAAATTATATTTTCTGTTCTGATTTCAAAAAGTGGGAAGGAGGAAACGTACAGATAGACACTTAGACATTCCTCTCTACAGGCTCTCACACCCAGTCTTAGCACTCAAGAGTACAGATTTGGCCAGCAAGATGGCTCAGCAGGTAAAGTGTTTGCTTCATAAGCTCAATGCCCAGAACCCACAGCAAGGTGGAAACAAAAGAGTTGCCTTTTGACTTCCACAAGGATGCATTCAAATACACACATTATCCAACAATAATACACAAATAATTTTTATGAAGTATCAAAAACACCTGCAAACCACTTATCTAAGTATGTCAAAATTTCATGTAAGACAGATCAGAATTATTTAACATATAACATTTGTTCAGACTTGTTTTATAAACAGTAAACCTTTTCAAGTAGTGATACAACATAAAAAAAATTATTACTATTTGGAGCAATAACCTAAAGACCGTTGCAAGAATGTCTTCATGAACCTCAAAAGTAAATTTTATAACACAGAAACCTCTTAAGAAAGACTACCACTGCCAGGCGGTGGTGGCAAACGCCTTTGATGCCAGAACTTGGAAGGCAGAGGCAGACGGATCTCTGTGAGTTCAAGGCCAGCCTGATTTACAAGAGCTAGTTCCAGGACAGGCTCCAAAGCTACAGGAAAACACTGTTTCAAAAAAACCAAAAGAAAGAAAAAAGAAGACTAGCCTTAAAAATCATAATAAATAAAAGGCATGGAGTGTGACTCATAGTAGAACACTGCTGTGCACAGACATGCTTTTTTATGCGTTTTTGTTGTTGTTACTACTTGTTTATTTTTTTGATGTGCTGAGGATCAAATCCATGATCTTTTCTAAATTTATATAAGAAATTAATAACAATATAGTCAGTTAATTCATAAACTTATAATTTGACATGGGTAACAACAATGACATGTATGCTTGAATTAGAAAAGAGAGCCTAGGAGCCTGGAGAGATGGCTCAGAAGTTAAATCACTGGCTGTTCTTCCAGAGGTCCTCAGTTCAATTCCCAACAACCACAATGGTGACTCACATCCATCTACGGTGGAACCTGATGCCCTCTTCTGGCATAAAGGTATACATGCAGATAAAGCACTCATATAAAATAAATAAATCTTTAAAAAAAATAAAAGGAAAGGCAGCCAAAGTAATGTAAAGTATTCTTTTAAAATCCTAAATACAACTGCAGAGATGGCTCAGTGGTTAAGACCACTGACTGCTCTTCCAGAAGACCCAGGTTCCCAGCACCAACATGGCAACTCACAACTGTCTGTAACTCCATTTCAAGAGATCCAACACCTTCAAAAAGACATACATGCAGGCAAAATAAATAAATAAATAAATAAATAAATAAATCATTAAAAAAAAAAAACCAAACACTCTTTGTTAAAGTGATCCCCGAAATTGTTAACAGAACTATTAAGAAAATGTAGTGAAGTTAAAGAGATTGCTCAGAGGTTNAGGCAGCAAAAGGGACAGCTACCAAGCATGGAAGAGAAAGGGGAAAGAAAAAATCATAAATAAATCATTAAAAAAAAAAACCAACCACTCTTTGTTAAAGTGATCCCCGAAATTGTTAACAGAACTATTAAGAAAATGTAGTGAAGTTAAAGAGATTGCTCAGAGGTTAAGAGCTCTGGCTGGCTGCTCTTCCAGAGGTCCTGAGTTCAATTCCCCATGTTGTGTTCAACCATGTTGGCTCACAACCATCTATGAGATCTGGTGCCCTCTTCTGGCATGCAGGAACACATGCAGGCAGAACACTGTATACATAATAAATAAACAAATCTTTTTTTTTTAGTAGCATTTCTTCTAAAATACATAACAGACACAAACACACAGCATATACATAATAAAACTGAACAAAACCAGATTATTTTATCTTCTAGTAAGACACTTTAAAAATGATAGCTTATATTATGCATTTAAAGCTCATCATTTGAGCTAGATCTGGAGGCTATAATTTGTAATCCCAGCTACTTGGGATATGATGGAGAGGTCAAGTCCTGCCTGAGCTACAGAACAAGGACCAGGTTAGTCTGATCAACTTAATGAGGTCCTGTCTCCAAGTCAAAAGTAAACATAAGCTAGGATTAACTCAGTAAGTCACATACTTGCACCACATTTAGATGGTCATTGCTTCAATATATAATACCACACAAAATAAAAAGCAAATCTGAAATTCAGTGCACATACTTTGGTACTAAATATCTTTATCCTTAAAAACACTAATAGGATCAATATATGTGTAAGAAAAATATAAAAACCTTACCAATGAAATCCTGTTCATTAAACTGAGATGAGAAGAAAAGTATGTGACCAAGTTATGAAGCAAAAACATCCTGTCCTTGAGGTTTTCATTAACGAATGCATGCTGTGTTAGAGTCATCTCTTTACATCTCCCTTCCTAACAACTACTTCTCTGACCTTGAACACTTGGCTTCTTGGAGTTTTATTCCCATTGTAGCCCATATCGATTCCATTACTGGGAGATGAGGGGCCAATTCGAAAGACATGACAAAATATCCTCACAATCCTTAGAAGGCTCTTCATCTGAGCATCATAATTGCTAGATAAACTGAAAATGAAAAAGTTAAAACATAAAAGATTAGGTGGAGTCAAACACAATCATCTTCAAATACATATCTGAAAGCAGATTTAGCCCACTAACCATCTGTTTCATGAATTGTCTGTGGTAAGATAATTTCCTACCATTCTAGAAAACAGAAGGGTTTGCGGAACAAAAATATATTAATATGTATTAATATATACCATTAAATATAGTGTTACAAATAAGTAGATTTCTAATCATTTAGCACCCAGAATATAACCAAAGATCATAGCATAAACTATGAAGAAAATGACCCTCACAGAATAGATGGAATCTTTGGATATAAACTTTAAGGCAAACTGTTCACTTCTAGAACTATATTTATAAATTCAACCAATTGTTTACAACTCTGAAAATACTTCCAAGAGAAGCAATAGTATAAATACTATATTCTAGGTCAATGCACAATACAACCATCTTAACTCAGTGGTTGAAGCCCCATCATTCTATCCACACCCCTGTATTCCTTCAGAATAGCAGTAATGAAATATTCACATGAGACATTCACAAATTGTATGTTAATATTACCAATCATCTGCATCAGGTCTAACCTATATAATGAATTGTCTTATAACTATATAAACACTGTAAATATCATCCACCATAAAAATCAAAGACCAATTCAGCTAATATGAAAACATACTGAGTATCACAGTAAGACTGTGTTCTGAAAGTGGATTTATTTTGAAATATATAACACCAGTCATCTTCTATAACTACTGTGAAAAAAAAAGCAAAAGGTTACATAACTTTTGAGCAGAAGAGAATGCTTTTGTACAAATTTACTCATCAAGTTTACTGTCTTCGCAGTGTATATTTAGTCCAGTTCTTTCTAACACCGACTTTTAAAAAATGGAATAAAATTTCAACTAAACTATAAATTCATTATAGGGAGACAGATCATCTGTTTTATTCATAATCAGCTAACAGTTGGCCTGGTAAACAGCAGGTACTCAAAAATATGCAACAGATGTACTGGTAACAATGAAGGGAGTGCCAAAAAGTTCACTGCTGAGATTACAATTAGTAACAGTATGTCTGAACTTATGGGCTTATATCTGAACCCGGCTGACCTCAAAATTCACAGACCATGTTTTTGGGGCTTTTTTGTTGTTTTTTTTTTAATATGATTTTAATAGTCATAAATTATAGCTCATTATAATAAAGGAGCTGAATGGAAATAACTACATATGCTTTTTATTCAGAATTTCATATATGCATATAATATGCTTTTTGATCAAACACAGCCCCTATTCAGCCCCCTTCACCTTTTATGTACTATGTTTTAATTAGCCTTTCTTAAATCTTAGATTTCAACAAATAGATGAATTAGTAGGAATAACTAAAAAAAGTGAGAGGAGTACATTATGGAAATCTTAGCTTCAATGAATCTTACAGATAATGAATCTAAATGTGATTCCAAAAGAGTATGGAAAGCAATGAGGAAAAGCAAACAAGCGAGATGGTGATACTGGTCATATGAATTAGCAGAAGGCCTTTCCAGTCAAGAGCAGAGGAGCACAGGCAGTAGCCGGGAATAAGTAGCTCCCAAATGTATTCCCACTCCTGACCATGAAACAGGATAACAGGTTCAAAGCCGGCCTGTGCTACATAGCAAAACCCTCTCTAGAAAAAGAAGGCAGGCGTTAGGGCAGAAAGACTTTCATCTTAGGTACATAAAAGTCCCCAGGAAGAATGGAACATGAATAGCAGTAAACCTTACAATGTAGCTTTATATTCATATCTTTTATAGACTCTGCATGATGCTGGAAAGAGAAAGGTTCAGCAGCAACTATGGAGACGAAAGGTTATCACAAACGGTCACTGTTGAAATGATTAGTGACAGTGAAATGCATAGAAAAATACATCCAAACTAGAAGAGGGTCAAATCCATCCACTAAAAACCACACTAAGTACTTGGTAATAGTTGCCTATTCTCCTAACTGAACTGGCTAATCACATACAGAGAAATACAGCATATACATAAGTTACAAATAAAACTCAAGCGATATAAAGCTTAATTCCTTAGATCTAGCAATTGTGGTGAGCCCACAAGTATTACACAGTAAATGTAAAGTTGATGGCCCCATTGGACTATCCACGAGAAGGACACTCTACCTGGAGAACCATTTTTGCAGAGCTATGAGGACGTCTGTCCTTTGGATAAGTCGCTGTCAATTCTGTAAAAACCTTGTGAAATCATAGCATTTCTCCCTTCTATAATACCCCAACAGTGTATAAATCGACTTTTCCTGTAGGGCAACTGGATACCTCCCCCCACACCATGAAGCCATGGTGTGAAAAGGATTCAGTCAAGTCCTCATTCTCATAGCCAAAATCTACATAAAAATAGTCCCTCACAAACTTTCTTTATTGACAGAAGTCACTGAAAGAAAGGAGCCTCATACAGGAGGTAACGTGTGCTCTAACAGCAGACTCAGGAAGGTATAACATACTGGTCTTCTGCTCTGACTTAATAGGCTACTAATAAATCTGTATTTACCTTTCAACTAACATAAGATCATAGCCCAGGAAATTAACTGTTTATACAGTGAAAAGGCCTGAGAAGCTAAAACTAGCTTCAGAGAGAAAAATTCTCACCTGGGCACCCTGCTGGATTTAAAAGTAGGGTCCCTAGAAGAGATTCCTTTTGTCTCAACCAGCTAGATGATAAAGCAAATCAAGCCCACAGGTTAGTATAGCTACCAACAATATGTTCCCAACTGCAGGGGAAATTCACATCCACACCCCCTCTGAGACATAAGGTGCCTACTTGCCACATTCACCGGTTTCTTGTGACTCTGTGAAAATGCATGCTATTGTTACCACCTGTGGGTTCGCTAACTGGTCTGTATGCCTATATAAACTGAAAGTTTTATGGAGATCACCTCTTACCTTTTTTACCCCTTTATGCCTGATGTCCTTATGCCCTCTTTTAGCCCTTATCCCTTACCCTTCTGACCGCCCTATCCCTTAACCTTATGCTTTGCCCTTTTTACCCTTATGCCTGATGCCTTGCCTTTCTGCCTTATGATGCTTTGCCCTTACCCTTATGCTTCTTTTCCCTTCTTTTATCTTCCCCCTAGAAACTTGCAGGCAAAACGCGCCTAAGTCAGTCAGTTTGTTCTACCCCTCAGACCCTGTTCCCAAGCCAGTTTTTGCTTGTCATAGAATTCCAATTCTGAACTCTGAGAGAGTGGTGAGGGTGGTACTCAGTAGCTCCCAATAAGCAATGAGTTATTAAAACCATGTTATCTTCTATGAAGAATAAAGACCTGAACTAGGGAGAAGGAAAGCACAGGGAAAAATAAAAAAACTTGATAATGAATCATGAAGGAATACTGAAAGGTTGAACAGTGGATGTGCCCAATTTTATAAGTCAGAGATTCACTTCCCTGAACTATTTTCTCATGTAGCCCAAACTGGTCACAAACTGTGTAGCTGAGGATTACCTTGAATTCCTGGTCCTCCAATTTCCAGCTCCCAACTGCCTGGACCAAAAGGAAGTATGACCACACCCAAAATATGGATTAAATTCAATACACATATGCCAAAATTCCCATTAACATGCTCTAGGTTTCTTTAAAAAGTCTCTTGACTACTAAGGGCTGAATAGTTAGGCAGCCTTTTTAAACAAAACAAAAACCAGTCAATGTGTGTGGTATGAATGAGGTGTCCCCCTGGTCTCAGTGTTGGAATGCTTGGTCTGACATTGGAGGCACTCGGAGAAGCTCAGGAGGTGTGGTCTTGTTGGAGGAGGTTATGTTACTACTGCCCTGGAGGGGGATCTGAGAGTCTAAGAGTGCTCACCATTTAGAGCCTGCCCTCTGCTTCCTGCTTTCCAGTCAAGAGGTGAGCCCTCATCTGCTGCTGGCTGCCATGCTTTCCTGCCGTGATGAACTCTGTAACCTTAAGCCAAATAAGCCCTTCTCTGAGTTGCCAAAGACATGATGTTTTTGTTTATCATAGTTTAGAAAAGTAAACTAATACAGTAAGTCAGCAAAAAAATTAACACCTCCCCAATGACAGACAGTATCTAATTATTCCGGAGATGAAACAGACAGACACTGCTAAGTACTGATTTACGGAAATGCTCACCTAAGCAGCTTATGACCATTTGTTGTAGCTACTTCAGCAAGGCTTGTCAGAATCTTTAGGTACTGGCTTTCACTCTGCTGAGACAAATGCTCCAGAACTTGCCGTAACTGGTTTTATATCAATTTAAAAAAAAAAAGTGATTACACAGTAAGTGATCCATTAAATTCTATCAAAATGTACACATATTAGTTTTATAAATGCCTTGAAGCCAGCTAACTAAAGTCAGGAACTTTACCGTTATTTTGCTTTACATAAACTTAAGAGTCAATATAGAAAAAGATGACAATATCTTCAAAATTATCCAGGTAAAGAGATACATACACATAGGAAATAAAGTATGTATGTGGAAATTTAATTCTAAACTTCTAATGTTTATGAAGGTTTCCAACTCTCCAACTTTCCTAAGACTATTCCTACTGAAAATACTGAGGTTGGGGCTGGGGATGTAGCTCAGCAGGACAATGAAGTTGGGCCCTGGGTTCATGCCCTGGGACCACAAAACAATAGGAAAAGGAGCTCAGTGAACAGTGGTCACCAGACACTACATTTCTTTCCTCTATCCATGAGGAAGAGACCAAAGAGCCAGCCAGATGATGCAGAGGGGCAAATATCAGACAAGATACAGTATTATACACAGTTACACCTCAATATTACTGGTAACCAATTCTAATTTGTCCCTAGTACCCAAAACCTGCAGATGCTCAAGGACTCTATGTAAGAAGACAGAGCAAGTGAATCTATTCAATGCATATTCTCTTATAAACTTAAAATCAGCTTCACATAACTTATCCTGCCTAATAAAATATAAGTGCTATGTAAATAGTTATACTATATTCTTTAGGGAATAATGACAAAAGGTGTGTCCATGTTTAATTATAGTATTTTTAATCAACAATTGGTTGATTTGGGGCTGCAGAATCCCCAAATACCAAGGGCTAACTATAATTCATAGCTTCATAATGTACAACAAACTCAAGTCACTAAAACAATCATGACAACAGAATTATTATTATTCATTTACAACCTATTAGCAAGCTTATGCTACCATGTTTTCCCGAAGGTCTTCATTCTGTGTCATTTGAACAATAGTCTGGAAAAGCCTCGGGTGATACTGAATTAATACTTCACAAGTCTCTCCATATCCACCCTAAAAACAAGAGTAATGATTATTCAGGTTTAAAAACAAAGAGATTTTTGAATAATACAGTTTTTGCAGGCTAAACATATGTACTCTCATTTACGTAAAACATAATTTAATAATTTATAATTTCTAAGATAAATGGTCTCAGCATAATATATTAAAAACATACCTGTACACATAAATCTAGAGGGGTTACTCCATTTTTATCTGGTAAATATTTGGCTCCTCGTAATAGAAGAATCTGTGCAGTATCTCTCTGACCATGACTGTATAGAAATAGAACCAAATTAAAAATCTAAGTTTTTAATCTAACTTTTCTCCATAAATTAGATCATTTATTTATTTTATATGTATGTTTCCCCTGCGTGGATATATTTGCACTATGTATGTATGTGTCTTGTGCCCTCAGAGGTCAAGAGGAAGTCAGATCCTTGGAACTGGAGCTACAGATGGCTATCTGTCCCCAGGTTGAGTGCTGAGAAATGAACATTGGTCCTCTGCGAGAACGAGTGCTCTTAATTGCTCTGCCATCTCTCCAGCCCCTGAACCATCAATATCTAAATAGTAGGCTTGTTCAATAGTACCAAGATGGTAGTCGGCTTATAACATGTACACATCACATTCTATAAATTATACTGTAAGCTTTAACTTAGTATTTCACACACTCGATAAATAAGCACTAAAGAATGAATGATAGGGAATAACAAGTAGAAACCTAACACAACTTCCTAGAATACCTGAGGTGATAAGTATCATCTAGTCCTAGGGCTCCAGGGATGTAACTGTGACAGCATTAGCCTGAAAGCTGTCCCTGTACTTGAGCTCCTGGGCAACGAACTGCAACCTAACAATAAATAAGCAAATAAGAGTGCGCGGCTCATAACAAATACTCAGATGTGATAGGGTGTGTGTGTGTGTGTGTATTTGTGCTCATCCACGCTTCCTAGTTCTTATATAATTCCTTGTTATATCTTAAATAAGTAGAAAGTAAGGTTAGTGTACTAGGTTTTCTGGCCTTGATTCTTGAAGTAGCTTTGGAACAATCAACTCAGAGGCAATTTTTGTTAGAATGTTGAGACCAAAACCTCTCTAGTACTTTCCTGCCCCTCCTCAATATTCCTTGTTTCGCTCAAGCAAACTTCCCTAAGTGACTCACAGAAACTTCTCTGACATGTTTTTGCTCTTCCTGTGTAAGGATCCAAGAGAGGATCCCCTTTTCAGAAGGTGCCCTGCCTGTTACCTAAGAGAAAGGAATGCTTCCCAAAAGGTCATGAAGACTCTGAAGAGAAATACTCTGCTGGGTTTGACACTCTGTCCTAATATATTAAGTCACACCCCTTTTTTGGCCCAATAACAATTCTGAACAATTGTCCACATTTTAATCATGCTAACAAAATGAAGTTAAAAAACAAAACTGGGTCTTGGAGAACTTCTGGTTAGCTGAGAAGAGCCAGCGTTGAAGTACTGTGACTAAGACGTCCCCAGCTCCCCAGGACAATGCATCTCAATTCTTCAAGACAAAAAGCGCCTACATTTGAGAGCCTTCTAGACCTTGCCCAACGGGTCTCTGTGTCTGGTGCTTACTTGTAACCCTTAAATACCCTTCCTAATCTAATAATGGTGGCACAGTATTTCCCTGAGTTCTATGAGCCACTCTAGCAAATTAGTCAGATCCAAGGAGGGAGTTCAAGGAAGCCCCGCTGGCAGTCGTTCAGAAACTGCAGAGGATGAGACTTGCTCCAAGTACCTAAAGTGCAGAGATTCAACTAGAACTGAGCCCACAACTTGTAGGAACAGGCACTGTTACTCGGTAGATGGTGTAAAAACTGACTTAGAAGACATTCAACTGACGGCCGCTGCATAATCAAGTGTTGGCTCCCTGGTAAGCAGGAAACTCCTCATCCGTGTGGTGAGTGGGACAAACTAAGGGTTTTACTCCTATGTTCACAGATTAAGTTTCAGCCAATCATAGGCAGCCAATCCATCAAATCCTGCTCAAATAAGCCCGAAGCACTGCTGCCACCACTCAGGCCATCATTCACATTTAGCCTAAGAGCTCACTGTTCAGACACTGCTAGCACAGAGCTCTCTGAACCACTTCTGGTTTGAGTACTATCCAGTTTATGAAGTGCTTGCTCTCTGTGCAAATCAACTGTGCTTAATCTAATCTGTCTAAAGTCTCTTCTGAAACGGTTCACCCAATGTTTCAAGAGTAAATGCAATTGCTCAAGACCAACAGTTAAATAGTAGATACATCCATCTTTTTGTTTCATAAAGCCTCCACATAAACATTTTTTGTCGCATACAGCAAAACCAATTATTAGCATGAGGGCTGGAGAGACAGCTTAGTGGTTAAGAGTATCTGAGCTCAACTCCCAGCACACCCATGTCAGATGGTTCACAAATACCTGAAACTCCAACACTAGGGTTATCCAATGCCTACGGCACCTGTGGGTACTAGCACTCAGATGCTACACACACAGAGAGAGAGACAGACAGACAGACAGACAGACACACACACACACACACACACACACACACACACACACACATAAAATTAAAAGTATAATAAGTCCTGGGGCTGCAGAGATGGCTCAGCAGTTAAGAGTATTTGCTACTCTTGTAGAAGACCAAGGTTTGGTTCCCAAGACCCACAGGGTAGTACACAGCCATCTGTTACTTGAGTTCCAGAAAATCTAATGCTCTCTTCTGACCCATGTGAGCGCCAGGCACTCACACAATATAAAGACACACATGCAGGCAAAATACACTTTTTGCATCTTTTTGTAAAGAAAATTATGAATTTTTTTTAAAAAAGAATATTTAGCACAAAAAAAAAAATGCCAGTACAACATTTCGAGAAAGCTGGCTCTCTGAAACTACCTGAAGCTCACACCTCCAATGAAGGGACAGTCCATTTATTTCCAAACTAGATTAAAAACAAGACGCAGTTGTTTACAGCATACAAACTGTAAAGAGCACAATTAATGCCCAATGCCACTTATGTAAAACTGCAGCAGTTTACAACTAACCTACAGAGTCACAGAGTTGTGAAGAGTGTCACAGGGTCTCACTTTGTACCCTCCATGGACTGGAGCATGCTTTGTAGACCAGGATAGCCTTGAAGTTCCGCTTGCCTCTACCTCCTGATTGCCAAAACTAAAAACCAGCACTAACATGCTCAGCTAAGATTTTGTTTTAATTGTCAACTTTAAAACTATATCCACCCAGCTTTATAATTATATACATTAAAATACACAGAAACACACAGCATGATATGTAATGCCCTATAGCTAAGATACAAATGGAGTACAATCCTCAGTGGGGAAACTACACTGTATTTTGAGTTACCCACCCACCCCTCTATCCTAGAAGCTGATAGTTTGAACAGTTGACTATATTTTAGAATTATTTGGGGCCACAAAGAATTTTTAATCCAAATAACTAGGGAAGCTTACTGAATAGGCAATTATTCTTTATAAAAGTTATGGCTAGTTTTATAAATACATAATATTTTTTATTAATTCTGATAATTTCATACTTATCCTCCTTCTAAATCTTTCCAGAGCTTTCCCTGCAATTTCCTACCCTTTTCTTTTCTAATTGTCAATAACCCACTGACTTTGACGTGGGTCACCCATTTCCTCTGGGTGGGGCTGTCCAGTCGTCAACCAAGCAGGGGCCACTCCATTAAAGAAAACTAATGTACTCTCACTCTCTCCATAGACAGACTCATTTTTATACTGATTGGGACAATACTCTTCACAAGGATATGACAGTGTAGTTTATACACTTGTTTTTCAAAATCCTTCAGCTTTCTACCTTTGGGCTCTTTCAATCTTAATGTCTAAGAACGCCCACCAGAGTGTATAATAATGGTGATGCTTATGAACAGAAACTAGATTTACTATTCCATAAGTTTTTAGATTTAAATTTAAAGGTTATTTTAAATACTATTCTGATTCTGAGTTCTCTAACTAAAAAGAGAATTGTTGACAGGAGTTACACTCTATGCTCTGAAGCTTATACCTTTGTAACTCCACAAAGATCTCTAAAATGCCATCAACAGCTTACTACCTTATCTATATATACTCCAATTTACCTTAACTTTCCTAATAAAAGTTATCTGTAAATAGAGAAAATACCTGAGAATGTAGAAACCACAATACAATTAAAAGCATACCTTCACAGCTGGGAGATGGCTCAGTGAGTTAGGAGTGCATGTTGGGCAAGCATGAGGAACTGATTTCAAATCCCCAGCACCTATGTAAATAGCCAGGCATGCAGACTTATAACCCTGGTATTTTTTGAGAAGCTGAGAAAGGAGAATCACTGGAGTTTATTAAACACTTAACATTCTCCTCTGACAGTAGCTCACACACACAGTCAGGTGCCACCATACAGTTTAGTGCCTCATGTATCATTTTCCTACAATGACAAATTCCTTTTTCATTTCATGTCTTATCTTTTTTCAAAGAGCTACAATGCGTGCTAAATGAAAACTTAATAGCCATCTTGGTTCATGCCCATAATGCTGAGCATTTGGCTGAGGTGGAAGGACTCTCATGAGTTCCGGGTCCAACCTGGCCATGTTTAGTAAGTCCTAAACCAGCCTCAATTACAACAACACCCTCTCTTTAAAATAAAAATTAAGAATGGCTTAGTATGGCAAAAAGTGCCTGGGTTCAATTCCCAGTACCACACACAACTGAGTTTTAAAAATAATCTTTGATATAAATACAGTAAAAGAATAAATACTTTTAAAGCTATCTTTTAACAATGTTCTTATATTCAGGCTAGCTATATGAATATTCCAGTTTCACATAATAATATTGTATTAACTATTTTAAATTCATCGTTTTGTATGTAACCAGAGGGATTCACTCACAAGCACCCACTAAACATCTAAGCACAAAATACTGTACAAGCATCAGACAGAAAGAGGTAAAAAGAAATACTCTTTTTGCCTTCACTGAAGTTGAGACAGACTACAAACAGTAAATAAGTAGGCATAAATTACAAAATGCTATGAAAGCAATACTATGAGATTGTAACAGACAATCATTTGGGATCTATTTAAATCGACCATAACTATGCTTTCCAAAAAGCAAGTTAAAGTCAGGTATCCTGGAATTTTTTTTTTTTTTTTTTTTTTGGTCAACTTGACACAAGTTAGAATTCTTGGAGACGAGGAACCCCAAGAAAAATGCCTCCATCAAATATGCTGTAGGAAAGTCTATAGGGCATCTTCTTAAAATAATAATTGATACGAGAGGCTGAACTGTACTACAGTTCACTGTAGGCAGTACCACCCTGGGGTGGTGGTCCTAGGTGGCATATGAAAGCAGGCTGAGCAAGCCATGAAGAGCAAGCCAGTAAGCAATGCTCTTCCACATTCTCTGCATCAATCTCCAGATTCCTGTCTTGAATTCTTGCTTTGGCTTTCCTCAATGTACTTGTGACCCAGCATATGTAAGCCAAATAAACCCTTTCTTTCCCAAATTGCTTTTGGTCAGTGTTTTATCACAGCAACAAAGAGCACAATAAGATACCAGGTTTGGCAATACACGTCTATAGTCTAAGCAAGCACAAGGGAGGCAGACAAAAGGATCACAAGGTTGTGCCCAGCTTGGATCACACTTCTAACTCAAACAAAAAGGCAGGCTGGAGGGGGGAATCAAGTAACAGTTAAAGCAGTAGCATGAAGGAAGAAGCCACACAAAACGTCTAGCAAAAGACAACAGGAAAACATCATGCAGAAAAACACAGTGGACACTTGCACTCAGAGAACCCGAAGAGAACCAGCATGGCCAAAGCACAGTGGGCAGAGCCGAGTTAAGTCTCACGGGCCTAAAGAATGCAGGTTTTATCTGAAATGCAACAAAGAAGCACTGAGAAGTTCTAAGGTGGCAAGAACTTACTCTTCTTTCTCCCACAAGGTCACTTTGCTGAGAAAGACATTACTAAAGGGAAGTAAAAGTGGAGTCAAGGAGACTAGGTAGACTCCTCGGTACTCTAGGAGAGAGGTAACAACAGGAAAGTAGCTTAAAGAGTCTAGAGATGCAAAACATGCTTTGAAGGCAGACTTTAAAGAGCTTGCTGTTAAGAATAGGTTCCAAGTTCAGAGTCGGAGAGTACTAAGAAATAATGACCCGATTTCTGCACTGAATAAGTAGGAGAATAAGGGGCACAAGAAAGACATGAAGAAAAGGATAAGATGCTATATGCTGGACAACTGATGATTTTATAATAATGTAATTAGCCTGTGAACAATTAAATTGGGAGCTTCAAAGGAATGTCTAGTCAAAAAATAAACATCCAAGATAAAATATGGGAAAATTTTTAAGAAAATGTGCTGGAGAAATGACTCAGCAGTTAAAAGCACTGGTTGCTCTTCCTGAGGAACCAGGTTCAATTTCCAGCATCCACAAACGATGTGTCACAACATCTGTAACTCCAGTTCCAGAGGATCTAACACACTCTTCTGGCCTCTAAGGACACTGCATGTACATGGTATACAGTCAGACATGCATATAGTCAAAACACCCATACACATAAAAATAATAAACAAAATGTTCAAAATTTTTAATTTATATATTATATAAGATATATATATGGCATAACATTATTACAGAAACTCAAGCTAGTATCTTTCATAAATTCATATCATCATGGAATTAGCTATCAGTCAATCAATCAAATCATAAGAATATGAGACTACTGAACTCAGATGTGAACTAGAAAACAAAATCCAAAAAGCTATTGTATGTAGAAGCCCCTTGAATTTAACAGCTTCACTAAGTTTTACAATTCACATAATTTAAATAAAAAAATCATACACATACAAGTCATTCTTACATACTTAAGGGAGAGAGAGTGAGAATGTGTGTGTGTGTGTGTTTGTGTGTGTCTGTGTGTATGTGTATAACAACAATCAAAAAATAAGCCATTAATTTTGAGAGAGGACAGGTAGGGTTGGATGGGAGAGAGTGGAGTGAGGGACGGGAAGAAGAGAAATGATATGACTACAATTTAAAAAAATACATGAAAGAATCACTACAGTGCTTTGTAAACTGCCCCAAATAAAGAGGGAGGAAGAGAAGCTCAGCAGTCACAAGTATGTACTGCTCCTGCAGAGGACCTGAGTGTAGTTTCCAGGAGAGCAGGTCAGTGACAATTGCCTCTAACTCAAGCTCCAGTTTCAGTTTCTATCTGAAACCCTCTTCTGGCCTCCACAGGCACCTATAATACGCATATTTACCCACAATGGACACACACATAATTAAAATTGATAAAATCAAAATGAATAGATGATCTGTATCAGTCTGATCAAGATAATATCAGAGACACCAATTGAAACAAGAAAAGGCACATCTTTCTGTTAAAAATAAACTTGTAGTAAAATGGAGATGGTTTAGCACATAAGTATGCTTGCTGCTCTTGCAAAGGATGCAGGTTCAATTCACAGCATCCCTGTAGCAGCTAGCAACCATCTGTGACTCCAGTTCAAGGAGATCAGACACCCTTCTAGGCTACACAGACAACAGGCATGCATGTTGTGTACATGCAGGCAAAACATCCATACACACAACCATAGGACTATAGAGCAAAAAAAAAAACCATTACAGTAGTTTTTTGCACTGCTACTAACTGCAAACTACCTTTGTATGACAGATTACAAATATATACAGGCATATGTGTATGGAACAAGTGTGTGTATATAATTACTATATTACTCTTCAGCATTTGTTTTGTGTTGTTGATGTTTTGGTCGGCTTTTTCACTGCCCTGATGCTTGGGATGAAAGAACAGCCTTGTGCATGCTAGGCAAGTCCTCTAAAAGTCCTTTAAGAAGTTAAGAAACAAATGACCAAGTCAAGAAAAATAATCAAGACAGTAGCGAAAAAAACAGAACACATAACATATACCAATCATATTCAACAGTTTTTCCCAAAGGAACAGATCTAAGTACTTAATAAGATATGGAATTCACTGGATTACTATTCTGTCCTAAAACTGAACTATTCAAGTAAATAAAACAGCTCCCACTAATAAAATAAAAGCACTGGCAATTAATTGAAATGCTGATCAAAATGGCTCAAATTTATAATCTCAGCATTACAGAAGCTGGGGGAAGAGAACCTAAAGTTGGAGGCCAGCCATGAGCTACATTGTGAGTTCTAAACCCTGGCCTACAGAGTAAGATTGTATCTCAAAATAGCAATAATGATATAAATAGAAAATGCTTTCTCTCCTGCAATTAAGTAACAGTATTTATCATACTAAATAAAAGCAAAGCATTTGTAGGGAAACAAGAGTTTGAGAAAACATACACAAATATTTATGTGTGAAAATATAGTTGAAACATGACATTCATTAAGGGAAGCATGTCTGAAAATACAAAATATCGTACCTGCAAGCAAAGTACAATGGAGTGGCTCCTGATACATTCGGCCTGTTAATATCAGCACCACTGTCTAGCAAGCATTGCACTGTCTGGGAGGAAAAAGGTTAAAAGTAAACCCACAGAAGTCAAACAAAAGACACAATTATTAGAACTTTAATCCATATAAGGAGAATTCTTCCCACAGTTTGAAGCTTTAAAAAGAAAATGAGTGTACAGACTCATGATGTATGATGGTGAATAAGCTCAATGACAAAAAAAAAAAAAAAAAAAGCTCAATGACACTCAGGTACTCCACAGTCTACGTGGAACTGTCGATGTGATACAAAGTGTGCCTGCCTGGGGGCCCTCGATCAGAGGACAGTCAACAGTCACATGACTACTCATGTGACTCGAAATGTGACTAGTGAAACCAAGGAAATGAATTTTTATTTGTAATTATTTAAGGTTGCAAAACTATATATAAGGCTAGCAAACAAGACACCTTTAAATATCTAAATTTTAAAACTAAACATTTTACTTCTTGCAGGGAAATGCACACAGACCTGTAATTCTCCCAAAGCCAGAGTATAACTGTTGTACAACATGTTAAAAGCTAAGAAGCCCTTTTCCAATCAACAAAAGTCCATGCTGGCTCAAATTCTCTGAAACTCAATCATATGTACCCGCTCCCCTATAGTCATCTGACTTCTACCAAGAGAAAGTGAGTTCACATAAAATCATAAAAATACACATCTGAGATTCAGGACAGAACAAAGCCCACCTGAAAAACCTCAAAAATAATGTTTTTAGTTTTATTCCTATGGTCCTCATTTGAGTTTCTCCTGGAAAAACAAAATGAAGAAAGAATATAAAAACATTAAAAAGAAAACACCTTTGGAATTAATAATTTTCAATATTACTTCTAGATTGACCACAGATGTTGGTGCTCTAAACCCTAGTCCTATGTCAATAACAAAATCACAGTGTACACCCACACAAGAGAAAGAAGAGGACAAGAGTACACTGAGCAAGTCAGTCAGTTCTCCTCTGAGAGCATTTCACAATGCCAGGAAATACTTTGATTTTCACGATTAGGAAGAGAGGATGCTACTGGTTAGCTAGTGAGCAATCAGGAACATAGAAAAACATTCCATCATGTGCTGGACAGCACTCACCAAAAAAAAAAAAAAAAAAAAAAGAGTCCAAAATATGGACAGTGTCACTAGACACCTTGGTATACAGCTCAACCAGGCAGTAATAAATTCATTCCTCATACAACGTCCCTTAGTGTCTCACCATTAAATATGAATGGACAGACAATCTTTAAAATACAGTTAAAGCAAACATCTAACCTGGGGATAAAAGGCAAATCAAAGCAAAACTCAGAAAAAATATAGACAACCACAAAAAAGGAACCACAAAAAAAGAATTTAAAAAGCTAACTGGGCAGAGTGGTACATGCCTATAACCTCAACTCTCAGGGGACTAACAGGAGTATCCCAAGGTGGGGCTGGCCTGGGCTACAAAGCAAGTTGGAGGTCAGCCTCAACTATACAGCAAAACCCTATCTGAAAGAGCAGGATGGATGGAAGGAGAGAGGGAAAAGAGGGGGAAGAAAAGAAAAAACTCTAAAAAGGAAGAAAAGGGTATTTTAGCCATAGAACAAGGGTAGGAACCTGGGGGGAGAATATTTAGAAAATAAGAAAATGTACAATTTTACAGAAGAAATAACAATCCAACTAACGTTTAGAAAAATGATGTTTGGGACATCGACAGGAAAGAAAAAGGAAATAAACAGAAAACAAGATGAGAAAACCGGTGAATTGATACAAAGACTAGAAGGGCCTGGTACTACACAGACATCCAGTGTGCAGCACACATAGCCAGAGCTAAACAGGACCAAGTACAGAGTCTAAACAAAGCAACGCCAATGTGAAATGTCTAGTAAAATCTCAGCGAGAACCTGAAATCTGACTAATACTAAATTTCATAAATGTAACATTGGAATTTAAGCAATTTTTTAAAGACGTCAAGGTTTTTAAATTATTTCAAACATATAAATCTCTAGTCATTCATGTTATTATTCAAATATATGGTCAAAATGTACTTATCTATAATATTTTCTCATTCCTAAAATACTTCTTTCTCAAAGGAATTAGAAATTAGAACCTTCTCCCCCCAAAAAAAAGAAATTAAAAAAGCAGATAATATAGAAATCAAAATAAAAGAAATTGAACACAAAGGCATTAAAAATATCTAGATTATGAAAAAACAGAACTGGCAGGTTATCTAACAAATCTGTTTGTAAACAACAGCACTGTGACATTACAAGGTGATGTAAGGGGGAACTGCTGATCCACAGAGGAAACTGAGAAACTGGGGCTCTCAGGGTTCAAGCCCGACGACCTGAGCTCAGTGCCCAGAACTACTGGGGACTAGAGATAAAGGACTCCACAATCTTCTCTTTGGATTTCAACATGCACACCCACAGCAGATGATACAACACACCACACAGACATACACATACACAGTGAATGACTAACTTCAAGAGTGTTGACTACTCAATCCAATGAGATGCCTTTATCAAACCCTCCCCTTAGAGTTCGGGAAAAGATGTAAAAATACTGTAAGTGCCAAGGTGATGGAAAACACCAAGGAAACAGTCTTCCTGACACGACAGGACTGATGCACATATAAACTCATAGACTGGCAGCATTGCAGGGGCCTGCACAGGTTCAAGCCAGATTTGGTCCCAACAATGAGAGGGGGAATGGATGTAAGCTCCTATCCCTAGCCCAGAAGGTATCTCCTATTGACAACTGCTTGCCAAAGAAAATTTAGTGTTCTCCAAGAAGTCTCACTGGGGATATTAAGTACTTAAGGCCCCATGCCTAGTAGGAGATGGCCAACAAAGAAAAAACTCATGATATTTTTATAGACTTTTAATCTCACATTTCTTTTGGGGGACATTTTTTGCCTTACTGAGTTTTTGCTTATATATTACAGTTTCCAATTCTGTGTTTTTATGGATTTTGCTTGTGTAGATATATGTATGTCTATATTTCTCCTATTTCTGTTGTCATTCTTCAATTGCTTTGCTTATTTTCTAAAAATAAAGAATATGGAGTCAGGTGGGTGGGGAGGTGGGAAGGGTCTGGGAGGAACTAGGAGAGGGAAACCCTGATCAAAATAAGTTGTAAAAAAACAAATTCCAAAAAAAAAAATATGTATATATTAAAGTGTTTACAACTTGACTCATCAGCGAAAAAAAACTTAACATATAAATTAATTGCCTAAAGAAAATGTATAAATCCATAAAGAAACAATATACAAGTGTGAAAAACTGAAAAACAGTCATAGCAACTTATTATTTGGAGAAATGCACCGAAGAGAAGCTTAAAACTTGAATTTCACCTCTTCAGGTGATCTTGGTTTAAAAGAAAGATGATTTAATGAACTACCATGTTTTCTTTAAAAGATTTTGGTAAAAGACTTAAAGATAGAGTAGTCATATATTAGTGCCTGAATTTACTTATATCCCAACACAAATTCTAAAACCTAAATAGTAGCGCTCACTTGTAGTTTGTTGTTGTTGCTTTTGAAAGCAAGCAAACATAACTTAAGGGGAAATGAGAATGCCCGGTCTTAAGAGGGGCTCAAGGGAGGAATGCAATTGGAAGAGGGACTGCTTTGTTTTGCTTTAGATGGGCTTAGTATATTCAAGGCCCTAGATTCAATTCTTAGCAGCAAACACAAAAGATTGTAATACGGTATTTCCTATGTTTTATATTTAGATAAAGTAGGACTTGGGAGATGGCTCAGTGGGTAATCAAGATGACATGAGTTTGAATCCCCAGCACCCACATAAAAGTAGGCTATGGCCATACATGCCTATAACCTATAAACCAAGGATGAAGTAAGTGGATCCCTGGAGGTCACTGGCCAGCCAGCCCAACTGAACTGGTAGAGCTTTGCCCTCAATGAAAATACTCTGTCCCATAGAACTAAGGTACAAAGCAGTAAGAGATGGCTTTACCTGACACCTGCTCTGGCCTCCACATGAGCCTGCACGAGTATACATAAGCATGCACATCTGAGTCCTGTTTTTTCAAGATAAGGCTTATGTGGGCACTTGATCAAAGCTTCACCGTTCAAGATTTCTACCCCAACTGCTGCATTTGATCTTAAAGCAGGAGTGAGACAGGCAGCAGTTACGGCCACTGATTATAGAACTTATAGACAAAGAACTCAGTCTCCCAGAAGATTGAGGAATGATGAAAGCAAGTACAGAGAAAACACAAGTCCAGGGGCTACAGACATGGCTTAGCGGCTAAGACTAATGGCTGCTTTCCAGAGAGGTTCCATTCCCAGCACCAATATTGCAGCTACAACAAACTCCAAACCCCGTCCAGAGGAGTTGATGCCCTCTTAGTACACCAGGCATACATATATACATGAAAAATGCCCATATGGAAAAAGAAGGTTCACATGTACCTCAAATCTAACAACTCAAAAGCTAAGATATTAAAATATACTATTTGTTTATATACATTACAGTTAAAACAATACAATGGTATAATAATATGAATAACTTTAACATGTGCCCAGACACTGTACTAAGTACCTATCAATTCATTTAATAACTCTACTTCTGTAAGATATTCTGAATTCCAGAAAGGTAATTTATGTTCTATCACACAATAAAAACAGAGGTTAAAACCTAAGACCAGGGGCTAGAGAGATGGCTCAGCGGTTAAGAGCATTGCCTGCTCTTCCAAAGATCCTGAGTTCAATTCCAGCAACCACATGGTGGCTCACAACCATGAGGTCTGGTGCCCTCTTCTGGCCTGCAGGCATACACACAGACAGAATATTGTATACATAATAAATAAATTTTTTAAAAAAATTTAAAAAAACCTAAGACCATCATCAAAATAATTATTCTATTTTCCAGGAATTAAAAACTCCTGCTTTTTTTATAAATTCATTATTACTCCCTAGTTTTATCTTCATAAACTACATTAATTATAGAATGTGCTATTTACTTGTAAATGTCAACTTGCCATTACTTAGAAAGAGTGACAAATGACTGTTTTTATCACATTGGTCT